CCTGGTTCTTGTACTGCCTAATGGCCAGACTCAGAGCAGATGCAGCAAGGCCCTTGGAGTGCAGTGACCTGAATGTTCCAGCCTGGGAAAGAAGGATGGAGAAGCAAGTGGAGAATTTTTCTCTTACTGTAATTCAGTTCCATTGCTTAATTTTAGTTGTAAAATTGTAAATTTTAATTGTAAAATGCTGAAAAATTAGTGAAATTTTGCACTTAGGGAGTTGTATATTTGTTATTTTACCAAGTTCTTGGCTTTTATCTTTTGGGTTGAGTAATTTCAAGCTTGGGGGGCTCCTGTTTTGGCAGATATATGGCTTTATAGGATTGCTAGTCTTCAAGAATGCAAACTTCGTAGTTTGGGGAATAGTTGTACTCCTTTTCTGGTGCATGTACTCCAGAAAGTGAATGCAGTTGTTAAATGGTGGTTCCGTTTTCAAGTTACTAAACCAATGACATCAGTAACATCAGGCCCTGATGGGAAGTGAATGGCAATAGAAAACTACTGCTCTGATGTTTCCATCTGTAGGGAACAAGTATCAGGGATCTAGAGTAAGGCATAAGCAATGCATTTTAGTCTTGGAAGATAACTTGATATCTTGGCCTGATCAATTGACTGATGTTAATATGGACCTTGACAAATTACGGAGATGGGCAATCATCAACCATAGAAGTTTAACAAGAGTAAGTGTCAGATTCTGAACCTGAGATGGGACAGCCCTGGCTGTGTGTATAGACTGGGAAACCAGGGGCTGGAAAGGCCCTGAGGGTCCTGGTTGATGGCAAGCTGAATCTGAGTCAGCAGTGCCCTGGCAGCTGGGAGGGCCAACCATGTCCTGGGGGGCATCAGGCAAAGCATCACCAGCTGGTCAAGGGAGGAGATTGCCCCGCTCTGCTCTGCACTGGGGCAGCCTCACCTGGAATATTGTGTGCAGTTTGGGGCACTGCAATATACAAAAGCTCTTAGAGAGTGTCCAGAGGAGGACATTGAAGATGGGGAAGGGTCTGGAGAGGAAGCGTTATGAGGTTTGGCTGAGGGCACTTGTTCTGTTCAGCCTGGGTAGGAGGAGCCTGAGGGGAGACCTCATTGCCATCTTCAACATCCTCATGTGAGGGGAAGTGGAGGGGCAGGTGCTGATGTCTTCACTCTTGTGAGCAGTGACAGGACTCAAGGGAATGGCATAAAGCTGAGTCAGGGGAGATTTAGGTTGGATATCAGTTCAAGAAGTGTTTGAACAATACTCTCAGGAATATAGTGTGATTCTTGGACTTGATGATCCTGATGGGTCCCTTCCAACTTAGCATATTCTATGATTCTGTGGAGGTTATCAATTCAATTAAATGTCTGCCAGGCTATATTATTCCTTTATTGACTGAACAAGTCACCATCCAATAGTTCAAGACAAGAAATCTGTTTATCATTTTTCTGAAACTCCAGAGTCAGGTATTCAAATGCTTAGTGAAAAGTGACTTTTACATGCAGAAGAGGTACCAGTTTAGGCTTGAACTGACTCATGGCGCCTTCACGTGATCTCCCATGGAACTGCAGTCAGAAACGACTTGTGTTACTGTCTAAAGAGTCGTGAATTCCCTGGAAGAATTTACATGCAAGTAGCTGCTTGCATGACAGAGTAGACCAATGAGCCCTTTATGGGTTGGCCTTTCCAGGTGGATGACCATTCCTATGATACAGTGTAGCAAGTGCCTCAGATCTTATGTTGTAATAAATTATAGGAAGAAGTGGTTCTAGGAACCTATTCTAAGGAGAATGCAGATACCAGAAACTTTAGCTACTGCTTCCAGGTAGCATCATGATAGTATTTTTGAAGCAGACTATTTAAATATTCATCTAGTGTATTCTGGGGTTTTACTACTTAGTTTGAGAAGCCTAAGGATAGCAAACCTCCATGGATTGAGGGGGAAGAATAATTTCAGCTATCATCTAGGTACTTGATTAAAACAAAATATAATTAAATGTTAATTAATATCATACCTGCCATCTATTCCTCATATGTGGTTCCCACCTCCATTGTAAGTGATTCTCTCTGAACTGGCTTTGACTTCAGAGACATTCTGACTTACTGTATTTAAATGCATTGTTAAAATACCTAGATGTAAAAGGTGGAAGTAAAATGAGTGGATTGTTATCATGACCACCATATAATAGGATTTGACTTTTTCTTATGTTTATCTTCAACTTTTGCCAGATAAAGTTCTTTACTCAGATGGTGCCTTGGTGTGTCATTTCTTCCCCATTTCCTATCTTCTGCTTACATTTAACTGTATGTCAGAATTCTGTTCTTAAGATGAAAATCCTCTGGGTGAGTCAGGATGAAGTGTCTCTAATTCAAGTATACAAATGGGCTTTTATAGAAAAAGTAATGAGGGTGCATAAGATTAAACCCTCCTTCTTCAACATGTCAGTAATTGTGTTTAGGTCTAAGGATGTCAGTTGAAGAAAGATTTTGTAGATCAGAGTTCACTGACTTCAGTACTGAGCCCTGCATTCTCTTTCAGAGAACTCTTTGATGTGGAGGTTTGTAAAGCACTTGTTTCACTTAGCCCTACTAAAAAAAGGATAATCCAACTTATTCCACTTTAGAGGTATTAAGTGGAGAAAGTTAAAATTATGCATGTAACATGACCTTTCTGCCTCACATGTCAACCCCAGTGGTTTATAAGGGAAGCCAGTGGCTGGTTTATACTGCTTACGTGGTGTTATGTAAATAACTTGGGAATTGCCGGTGGTTTTGGGTAGTAGTAATGCTGGTGCAGCAGGGACTAAAAGCACCTTTCCTTATGACTGTGTTTGGATTCTAAGGAATATCTTGTTTTGCAGCAGAGACAAATGGTGATAGGACCCGAGTCTTAAACACAGATACTTCTGCCCTGGCCTCCACTGTGTTAAGAGAAGCACACCATACTTAATGGGAATAAGTGATGGAGAAATAGTCAGTCCAAGATTGTGACATCTTTAACTTGATGGCTGAGAAGCCTAATAGCTTCATTTTGCAGAAATACAATTATTTCGTGGATAGACTAAAACGTATTTTATCCTTATGCCCACCAAAGTAGTAACTCGTCTGTTGCGGATAAATTTGTAAATTAATTTTCATGTACTTTTCCTGTACGTCTCTTTGAATTTAATCATTGATGTAATTCTAGCAAATGAATAGTAATAAAATAAAAACTTATCCTAAAGCATGGCTTATAAAGTTCTGCAGTTCTTTAGGTGAACTGTATTTCATTAAATCTTTCAGCTACTTTGCTTTCAATGGTTTTAAAAAAGTGTTCTGTATTACAGTAACTATCACATTCCATGTTTTCTCACAATACTTTAAAAAGTATTTTTCCAAAATAATCTTTAAATCCTAAGTTCTACTCTTCCATCATGTATTTATGTTAAAGAATAGTTAATGGAGCAAGACAGGGTGGAGGGTTTTTTATTTGGAGGTGTTAGTGCAGCAGTAGGGGAAAAGATGTTAGTAAGCCTTCTATACGGCTTTTCTAGAAGCAACAGTGTTGTTAAAACTCCAGTTTTAATTTCTTTTTTGTCTTAACTCATACTTGTCCTTAGAACTTTTTTATTTCACCTCTGAAAAACCATATGGAGGGTTTTGTTTTAAAAATATCTGTAACTGTTGACTGTATCTGGAGACTTAGCTGAGATGAGGAGTTCTGAAGTTAAGCCCTGCTTTACTGCCACTGCATTTTTCTCTTTAGTTACTTCTGTGCAACCTGCAAATAAAGTCCGAGTAGTTGGATAGCTTGCTCTTTCACCCAGCTAATTAGCTTCTGTAATTACATCTTAATATTTTGTTCTGAAGGGCTGAACTGAATCTTAACCAACACTTACATTGTTACTTGATATTGTAAAGTAGATGATACTGAAATAGCATTGGTGTGGCAGGCAGGCTACTTGTCCTAGATAGTGATCAGACTAATACAATTGTCTTCTTTTTGCATTGCTTTTGGCCTTCTTATTTGAGAGGATATGGGGAAGAGGGTATTAATCAAGTTATAAGCACCAAAAAGGATCATCAAGATAAAGATTTCTATACACAAAGGGAAATTTATTGGGGGAAGCTTAAATTTTGAGCAGTTTTGCACAATGAATGGAGAGGGGGAAAGCTCTAGAAGAGATTGCTATAAATTGCTTGCATCAAGGCTGCTGTGGAGGTACCTATATGAAGAGTTAGCTAGGAGGAGCTCTGTAAATCCCTGCCAGGAATTCCTGTTGGGCAATTATTTTTCCTATACAGACTGCATCTACTAGCTCTTACCTTAAGGCAAATACTTACTGCTTCAAATGTAATACTAATGTTTAAAAATCTAGGAAAGAAACAAGAACAATGAGGAACTGATATTTACAGCATGAATTAAATAATAAATTGGAAGAATGAGCTAGAGACAAGGATTGGGGGACAGAGGGAAAATAATTAGATGTAAAGTGTATATATAACATATAATGTCTGAAATACTGAAGGATGGTATATGAAGAAATATGCTTAAATTTCAGACAGACATCAAGACTGGACGTAATTCAATAAATTTGTTACCCACAAGAAATTCAATGTAGCTTATTCTTAGTACTGTGTAATGATATATTTTCATCTTAAGCAGTTGTAGAATCTTTATCTAGGATGATGTCAACATGGCTTCAATGTAGATCATGTCCTGATATTCTTTACTCTGTAGTTTTGACCAAAACCAGACTGCATATCATGGGATGAAGAAAAAAAATCTGCAGTTAAGTGTGTGTATATAATGGGAAAGAGCGTTACTGGAATATCTTAAACTGAAGCTACAAATGAGTTCAAATTAGTTGTTACTGTTGTCCTCTTTAACAATGAAAGACTTATCTGATGTTCCATGTATATTGGCTACTCTGTATCCTGCAGAAGTTACTAATTTGCAGCTTTAATTATCAACTACATGAATGTTGAAATTTGCATAGTTCTTTTGTATAAATAACACTGGTTTTTGTTTTGTTTTTTCCCCCAGTTTCTATGGAGATTTTGGACCCTTAAATTTGGCAATGTTATACAGATACTGCTGTAAACTAAATAAGAAACTAAAGGTAAGCTTTGTTTAAAAACAAAGTTCCTATTTTTTTGTGTGCTTTGAAATTGAAATAAATTAATCCAGTTTAAAAGTGGTGATTAGGTGCTCATTGTCTAGATGGTGACTGTTAAACTTGAAGGATGTTCTTTGTTCCAAGTTCTTTTCCCTCTGAAGAGTGAAAAAAATGAATATGCCTTCATTGTTGCTTATCAGTGAGGCACTGAGGGCTGTCTTCACCTTTTTTCATAACCTTACACTTTAAAGACAACAGTAACAAAAACCATTGGTTATGCTCCGTCCCAGCCAGACGCAGTACAATGAACGTGTAGCTGTGGACTTACCCTGTTCTCCAAAGGCCTGTGAAGAATTGATTTGCAGCATGTATAGAAAATCTATCAATTTCAAGAAATGAAATATGTTGTAATTCCAAAGTACTAATTAATGTAACTTCTGGGCAAATAGTGAAAAGCCCTTTTGCTAAATATAACAGATTTTAAATCTTTATGATATAAAGTATTAGAACTGTTACTCACAGAAGGGGAAAATGGGACAACAGATGTGATAACTTGGGCAACAATTCAGAGGGTCCCTTTATCAAAAATGACATTATGTTTTGGGGCTGATGTTTGCTGCACAAATGAAACACTTAGGCAAGTTGATTCATGCTATCTGCTACTTTCAGGGGCATGCTGAATTGCACATGTTCTTAAGAGGAGGTTTATGGAGTTGCTGTAAACTTTTTGCAAAAGAAAGTGCTTCTAGTGAAAGTGTACATTTCTTCTTACTCTAAAAATTTATTTATAAAGAGAAAAAGTTAAACTCTGCTATTTCTAATTTTGAATGCATGTGTTCATATTGGGAAAACATTGGATTTGCCATTTCAGGGATAACACTAAAGAGACCTTATAACTGTGTTATCACCTCATTTTCTAGTGCCAGTGTCCCATTCAAACACGTGACCAAAGCTGCTCACTCAGTAGGAAGCTGGTTTTTTACCTTAGTTCTGCTGTTGTTGACCTTTTATTTATTATATAACTCAAATATATATAACTGCTCTGTGAAGTAGTTACTCCAGAGAAGAGCCAATAATAAAACTGCTATTCTAACTTCCCTGTCCTCTTGGAAACTGGAGAGATCAGTTCTGTCTTTTCCAGATTCGGATTAAGACTTCGATCAGTTTGGGACCTGAATATGGTCTCATGTATTGCTGTTGAAGTGTGTCTTCATACTTTTATAGCTGAACCAGAATACCTTCAATCTCAAGCCCAGGTACCAAGAGGTTCACCCAGGAAATAAGTACACAACTAATAAATATCCTGGGATTTTTTTTTTTTAATGGTTCAGTATTGAACAGGAATGTCTCCACAGTCTTTTTTCTTCTTGTAAGAAAGAGTGCATTGAGTGAGGCAAGCTAATCATCAGAAGTGGCTTCTAAACATGAAGGTTGGATATTATCATGGAAAAAGTAAACAAGGGAGCTAAATTGGAACTGAACTATTGGCTTTGATATTTGCAGGGCTGATTTAACAAACTGTGATGTCACCTTAGTGCAACATTTACATTTGCTGAACAAAGCAAACATACTAACATTGCTAGGTGAAGATTACAGCTGGTGAGGACCAGGACAGAGAAGTCTCAGCACCTCTGGGAGGAGATGCTGTTTGTTGCTGCCAGAGGCTAATTCCAAATAGGCTAATTTAAACTACTATTGTGTAAGAGGGAAGAGTAACCTGATAATGCAACCACTTGTAAGTAATACCTGAAATCAAACAGCTAAAGCTTGGAATACTGCCAGAGTGGTATAGAAACTTACAGTTGAATAGATTCCAGTCTGGCTGATTTGCACTATCCCTGGGGTAGGCCAGTACAGCTGATGTAAGCTTTGATCTTCTAATAGTTAAAATGTATACCAGACTGTGACCTGTTTTAGATACTGCCTGCAGTGGGTAAGTAGTCTTGTAAAACCAAGTCCCAGGGCTCGTACATGTTCCTGTACCTGCATGTATCAGAAGCAGGCATCTGTAGGCCTAGCTGAAGGACTACTGCTCAGCTTTGCTAGTCAAGAATTATGGATTCACAATTTCTACCCTTCTACACCTCATCTTCCCATGTCTGCCCTTCACAAATGTCCCCCAGAGGAGTTTTTAGGCTTCAACTAGCAGGAGTAAGGCAGAATTTAAAGTCATGGGAAGTACCTACTGGACTAATGAGAGAGAAAGTCAGTCCTGTTGGGGCCACCTGCTGCTTGCATATCCTTGCATTAAGGGTTCCCTGTGACGAGCAGCAAGAGGTGTTTGATCAAATGTGCTGCAGATTATCATGGGATGTTTGCTATTGCCATACTGCAACACTTTTTGGACTCTGAGGCAATCACAGTGCTTAAGCCCAGATGACTTGGTATATACTTGCTTGGGTAAGCACTTCATGGGCTTCTCCTAAGAAAAGAGTCTTAAAATGTGACACAAAAAAAAAATAAATTACAAATGTGATGGGTTTTGTATGGATATACTGTCCCAAAAGGAATTAAAGACTTGCACTTGTAATTTTGAAACTTCTGTGAATAGGAACAGAGAAATGAGAGTGTAAGATCTCATTAAAACAAGCAAGTGCACAAACTTCCCTTCCAAAACTTTCAACTGTATCTGTTTCTGGTTTGGGACAGAAGTTAGGCACTGGAGGCGGTTTTCTGTTTTATTCTCTCCTTTCTTGTGGGACTGGTGAGGATGGAGAAGGGTACCAGTTCGAAATGTGCTAATGGCACACCAACATTTTAGAGTAAACTATGGTAACTTTGTGCTGACTGATATTAAAACCAGTAAATAACTCCATTTTGAAGAGCTGAAGAATTTATTCAGATAGCCATTTGCCAAGAAAGTTTGAGGTCAAATCCTGGTTATACCTTACAGGAAAACCTTTTGGACCTTGTAATGCTTCGATGGCTGTGGAGATGATTTTGACTATCCAAGTCAACAGCAAGGAAAAAAATGCTTGGCTGTGCTATCTTTTTACTTGTAATTTGCATTCTGTATGGGAGGAAAATGCTTGACTAAGCAACTGGGGTTCATTTATGAAAAAAAGATTTTTTTTTTCTTCTGTTTAAAGAACTGACTTCATAAAAACTGCTTTAAAAAAATCTTCTGTGTTTTATGTGTGTATAGCCTTACACATTCTCAATAAATCCAGGAACAGAGGTGATCAGGGAGTGCTGCTGATACAAATGATATGAATATTGAAGATCAAAGGCAGGAGAGGAAAAGCACTGGCAGGATTATGAACTATGGGGTTAACATTTTTTTGTGTGCTAACTGTATTGCTGCGGAATCACAGAGGAGTTTGGCTTATTTGTTAATATAAATAAACTGTTGGAACTGTAGTAATTAAAAGCATCTCCTTAGGACAGCCTAAACTTTGAGACAGGGTTGAGTGCACATGTTTTAATAGATCATTATCTGTGAAATTTGCCACCCTTGTATTTACTGCTGTTTACATGTACATATTACATATATATACACCTGTCTCTATATAAAAATATAATTTGCATAGATAAAGGCTTATCAAACACATTGCAGTAATTTCTTGCTTGAACAGTGCAACTGTGTTAAACCATATCCCTTATATGAAATACTGACAAATAACCTGGTGATTTTACACAGCTGTCAATCTAGTAGCGGTCTACCATGGCACTTTCTAAGCCTGTCATTAGTTTTTCTGCAAGTAAATCTCTCTTGAGGTCTGCAAGAAACAGGAACTTATCTATTATTTTTTTTAAAAAAGTAATTTTAAAATGAAAATAACATGTTCTGGAACCCTCTTGTACACCTTATAAGTTAGTTTTAGCACCTAAACCAAAACCTGACATGCTCTCCACGGAACCTCTGCTTTTAATTCAAAAGATTGTATTTTAGTATGTTCCTTTGGGATATATCTTGAGAGATGCTGTTACATTTTGTCTTTTAGTGATGTGTGAAACTGCTAACATTTTCTTACTGGTAAAGAAAAATACTCTTAATGTTTCATAGTGCGTGCCTTTGTTTTAGGAAAAAAGATTACTCACATCTATGTTACCTCAAACTCTTGCTATTCTGTAGGATAGCCTGTTTTGAACAAGTTCTTTTTGAAACATTCCTGGTTCTTCAGAGTTGAGCAGTGTCTCAGGGAACTAAAGCCTTAATCCATTCCGGTGGAGCTTTGGAGCTGTAAAAAGAGTCACCTTCCAGAACTGTCTTGAAAGCTTGTTATCATTGAACCTGTCCAAAGGAGGACACAGAGCTTATTAAATATGGTCAGAAAATCAGTATTTTGGAAAGTAGATCATATAGCTTAGTACTGATAGTGCAAGTGTACTGAGTAGACAATTTGCATGTTAATGTTGACAAAGGCATTGCACTGACACTTCAGGAAACACTTACTGTAAAACTTGGTTTTCTGTAACTAGTGGGCAAATAAAAACAGTGGTTTGTTTCATAGGCTTTGGAAAAGTTAAATTGTGCTGCCATTTTCCAGTGGTTACTATGCTAGAAGCTGTTAATGTCAATTAATGTTAGTTTCAATTTTCTGTTAAAGCTTTAGTCAGGATATATGTTTTTTGAATATCATATAACCCTTACATTTTGAAAATTATGCAATAAAACTGATATATCATTTTCATTTAAATGTTCTGGAAACTTCAGTTTTTCGCTACTTTAGGTACAAAGTGTCTCAAAACTGAAATGACTTGGTACACCCAAATGATTAAAAAAATCCATTCTATAAAATAGAACAAGAAGTGTGGTCTCATTACAGAGAACTTCTGGCTAGCTAGCTTTGCAGTTTAAAATAATGGGTTTGGTGAACTATAAACTGCTGAAAAGAACTTTCCGTTAAAATAAGTACTAGTCAATAAGTTATAATTGAAGTTCTGTCACTGTTGCATAACTACTGTAATCTTATCCCACCTACACATCATGGGTGGAATTGCAGTTAGAGAACACTAAAATTAAAAAATTGAGGAGGGGGAAGAAGGGAGGAATCTTAAAATACTGGGATTAATTTTGTCAAGTTTTAATAATAATTGAATACTTCACTAATTAAATAACTACTTGTGCTTTATATGTTTGCATATACACTGAGGGAGACGTTGCTGTTGGTCTCTAGATACAGCTTCTTCCAATCAACAGCAACCAGCTATTTTGGGAATTACAGTCCCATTTAGACCCTCTCAGTTGCACTGACTCTCACTCCTTCTACCCCTGGAAGTTGTGGCTAACAAGACCAGACTGGAATGTACAGTTAGAACTGCTATTAAAGGTGCTGTTTCTGGGGGATTGGGAGTAAGAAGCTTGCCGTGGTACCTACATCAGTTTTCTCCTGAGTTTATCAGCTATTTGTTTTTTTTGCAAACTTTGGTTCTGTGGTTAAAACTATTCTAAAATCTGCAACAAGAGTTAAGGTGAGAGTAGACACGGATCTCTGGCAGTGAGATACAGCCGGCACTACTTAAACAAATAAAACACTATTCTGCAGCAGTTACCTTATCTTCCACACCCCGGTGTCAACAGTGAAGCTGGGTAACAGCAGCATTGGTGTTAGGGCATTTTAGAGAACGTGCAACTTAAAAATAGAACCTGCTTCAAAGATTGAGAAACGGAAGCCAGTATGTTTGTTGATGACTTCCTCAAAACTGGAGTTGTACTGTTCGTCTGTCAGGACAAACATGCATCATAGTGTTGCAGAATATAATAGAAGTGTAGCAATTCATGAAGCTAAAAAGTTATTAATGCAGTAAATTGTCCAACTTGCCACTTCTAAGTAACAGTTTTGTTTCTTTCTGGCTTTAAATAATTTTGCTGCAGTTTGTCATTATTGTTCTTTTCTGGTGCATGTTGGTTTTGTTTTCAATGGGAGTTTTGTCCATAGGATTCCGACAGAGGCTTCCTTTCTTCCTAAAGAAAGAAGAATTGCAAGTGTTGATTGTTTTCTCTTTGCCTAGCCTTTTCTCCAGGCTTTCCTTTTTTCTTCTTTCTTTTCCCCCACTTTAAATAAATTCACGTTGTTGAAGCTTTATAAAGATGTCTGTTACCCTGTTTTTGTGGAAGTGTGTTTAAACTTACAAAGAGCCTTTTAGATTGATTGCTTCAGTTTTTCTTTTGTGTTCTCCACAGAATTATATGCTAAAGAGATTCAACTATAGGAGGAAGTTTAAATCTGTAAATGTCAATGTCTTTAATCAGTGTTCATAAGGTAGTCTTTCAAATTCTTAAACTTGGGGAAAAAAATTCAGTTTTTTATACTGAATATTTTAGTTCAGCTGCATTTTATAGGATATTTTTTGACAACTAACAAAGAGATCTGCCCTAATACAGCGGCTGCTTCCCTGTACTCTTATCTGTGATGTAAGAAGACTGTTCAGGGTATCAGTAATTTTTTCTCCTTTAATTTTAAGAATATTTTCTTTTTCTTTTCAGTTTGGGAAAGGGATTTTTTTGAAGTGTTCTTAAAGTGCATTCTTCTCTTAGTAAATATGGTGGTTTTTTTCTTTAAACAGTACTTCAGTCTATCAAGAAAGAAGATTGTGTACTACACCAGTTTTGACCAGCGGAAACGAGCAAATGCAGCATTTTTAATAGGTGCATATGCTGTAAGTATTACTGACCACATGGATACTTCTAACCTTCCTTAAGAGACTTCTGCTGTGTGTAAAACAGCTTCTCGAGGGATGGATGCAGATGGTAATTTCATTCTTCTCTAAGCTGTCCTTGGAAATTCTGCTCCACGAGTTTTAGAGAAACCCTGTCTTTACCCTTTAACTCCATTTATTTTACTAAACGTGGAATGGCTTTGGCAGATGATGTGCCTGTTTTCCATAGGATACCATTTTCTTGAATGTCAGAAATTCAAACCACAAACTTACCTTTAAACTTGGCTGTCTTAGGATCAATTGCTCCTTGTGCCAGGAGCGAGATTCGTAGTGGGAAGGAGAAATATTTTTCTCACAGCCTTTCTTAAAGTTCCTAGGCCAGAAGCATAGTGATTGATTTCTTTTCTCAGTTAATTTTCTATGATTGTACCAGCTCTTTGAGATTAGAAAGTCTTTTAGCTATGAACTCTACCAATATGTGAAAGTTAATTGAGAAGGCTTGGTTTATTTGCCTGGTGTTAAAACATTAAGTGTAAAATGAAACGTGGAAAGCAGTGGATCAGGTTCTAGGAGTGGGTTTCCAGTGGTGATTATGCAACTTAGATTGTTCCATTGAACAGCTTCTTAGACCCTATAGCTGTTAAAATATTTTAATAAGAGGTTTGAGTGAAAGTTAAGTCTAAAAACTTCACTGGTAATAGTTTGCCTGGTTCTAAATTGCATCTCGGGAAGATGCATTTCATAAATTTCAGTTTTTACAGTGGACTTCCAGTACGTTTGGTCTAATCATGCCCAGTTGCTAAAATATTGTCCTTGCTCTTAAGAATTCCACAAAAATAACTTCTGTCACAAATTCAGATTAAGAAAAAAATATTTAAAGTGTTACAAGAACAGAAGAACATGTAGACTTCCCTGATCATGCAGAGGTTCCTCATAAATAACCAAGACTACAACACAGACTGGTCAGTGAGGTCAGAAACAGGATGCTACTAGGTTTTGCAAAATCTTATCAGGAACAGCAGAGACTATATGGAAGCTAGTGTTGTTCTGTTTTTCCTTTCATCTGTTTGGAGATTTTAGTTGTTAGGATTTTTAATCTAACCTTCCACAGTAGTTAGTCTTTTCTTAAAAAAGAAATCTTCAGAAACTGTTTTGAAATACCATTACAAGTCCTTTCATGCATACCAAAACTAAAGTAGCCTGGTTTGACTCAATTTGTACTTAGTAGTTTTGGGAGGACAATTAGAGAGTAAGTAGGTCTAACTGAATTATACTTAACTCCCCACTTGTTATCAAATAATTAATTCTTGGAGAAATCTTGAAGGAGAGTGTGTTTTCACCAGTCTGATAACACATGGATGAATGGTGAGCTGAGTCTCTCTTTCCATATTCTTAGGGTATATTTTTTTACTGGTTGGAGACCAAGGAACACCTACCTAGTTGTGTACTCTGTCTAATAAGGCTTGAATTCTTTGGGAGAGAAGAGCAGGAGGAATAATGATCTTGATTGCTCTTGTACTCCTAGAGAAATGTGGCAGAGGAAAGAGAGAACATAGATGTTTGACACTTTGCTGCTCCTGGTAAATCTAGAGCTTTAATTCTACCCTGTAAAAAACAAGTAGTAGTTATCTCTTGCAATTCTTCAGGGACTAAAACTTGATTAATGGGCCAAAATCTGACTTTTAAGCAGTCCCAATGGTACACACTTTTGCACTGTGGCAAACCCTTGAAAGAGTGAACCTTTTTTCCTTATAGGTAGCAGATGGGCTGGCTATATTTCACTCTCATGATTACTTTAACTGTATATTTTAGTAGTAACAGCTTTTATTAGACTTCTGTTATGCCGGGAAGGGAGAAAAGCTGTTGAGTTCTTACAGTTGTAGTTTTATTGCAGCAAATGACTGGGTAATAGCAAACTACTATAGCATGTTCAGTGGTTTGCTTGCAGGAGTTTTTCCCTAGTGTAAAAATTTAAATTGGACATCTCAGCCCTACCTGAAACTTTAAGGGTTTGTTTGCTGGTAATCTAAGTGTGTCACACTATTGCTCAAGCCTGTAATCCCTCCCTTGGAGGGTCAGCAAGTACAAAGGCTTTTCAGTCACTGCAGTGTGCGCAGCCTCTTCTGTACACCTTTCTGCTGATTGCTTTAGGTTGTCTTCTCAGAACTCTTGTGCTAACTTAGCAGCTCCAGAGGGGATCTCCAGATTCTCTAGTTCCAAATACTTCTAATTTTAAAACAGCAGGTGCAGGTGGGAACAAGACGAATCCAAACTGCATTTGCAGTATTGTGGATAAGTGTTAAGATGGGCTTGCAAAATACTAATTCCCTTTTTATTCTGCAAGCTTTTTAGGACACATGATATGAGTTTTCTTGACAGAGGGTATATCTGGCCAGTATCGCTACACATCATGTGCCAGCATAGTGTCCCAGCTGTGGGGAGCTTTATCTTTGATCCATTTCAGTACTGATCCATGCTGTCAGTGTGACCGTGGCGAGTGGAGCAGCAACATTGGAGATTTGAGGCTAAAATACAATTCCAAGTTAGGGGATTGATCTTTTGAATGAAGATCAGTTTGTATAGAGGGTTTTGGTCCAAAATTAGACTAGCTTTCAAAGCATTCAAGTAGGTGGTGGTTGAAAAAGAGATTCTGGACCATCTATTCATTGCACAATGGCAAAGAGATTTTCAGACTTTTATTTTAGTCAATTTTTTGTGTTTTATTTAATCCTTATCTTGTCTTTTCTGTCTGCTTTGTCCATGCTTGAGGAAGAAATGGAAGAAAATCTACCTAATTTGACATCATCTTACAGAGTGCTAAGAATCCCATTAACTTGGGACAAAAAGCTAATTGCAGATGTTCTGGGAGTGACCATCACTTACCTATATTCTAATGGACTCAAGGTCAAAAGTTGAATAGAGCTTTTAGATCAGGAACTCATCTGTGTCTTGGTTAAGAAGATAATTACTAGAGTACCTTATATTCAGTTAAATGTGTGGAGAGCTGTGAAGTGGCCGTGTAGATGCTGGTGGTAAGGTGAACTGATAAGGAGGGAAATGGCTAGGAAAACTGTGGGGCTTGGTTTGCAGTAAATGTTTATATATGTGAAATATACCATCCAAACTGAATGAATTTCATGTTTTGTAAATGAAGTACTTGTTTAATATGCATTCCGAGTTAGAATTGTTTCAGGACCAACTGTACGGTACAAATAGGAATTGAAATTCAAAAATATGTACTTGTATTCTAATTTCTTACTTAAGCCAGTGCAGCCGATTAGAAGAATGAACCTTGGCTTAGGGTGTTACATTAACTATATGTTGGTCCCCCAGTAACATGTTCAGCTTGTTGAATTGGATATTTTTGTTAATTAGTAGTTTGATATTGACAGTTAGGAATCAAAAAATACTTGTGTTGGAAAATCTCCCATTGAGGTGTGGTGGAAAAATGTTTCCTTAGTCAGCTGCCACGATGGTATTTTGACTATTTAAAGTTAGAGAACTCCCAGTATAGATGCCTCTTTTTCATCTTGGTATGATGTTGAGTCTGTCTTAAACTCTCTCAGTTGAGCAATATGTGATTTTTTTTCCCCCTCGCTTTCTTTTTTTTAAAGTAGAGGAATGACACAAAACAGAAATCCCAGTTTCTGTTCACTTGTGTTATTTCTGAATATATCTTTTCTGACCTGTGTATGTCCACAGGAGCAGCTCATGAAGGAGTACAGTATTCTTAGCAGTTTAGTGGGCTGAGGGAAGTTAACGTCTGGATAATGACTTTTCAGGCTCAGGGCTGATTTTTTTTTTTTTTTCCTCTTCCCCCATCCCTTTTAGGTAATATACTTGAAGAAAACACCAGAAGAGGCTTACAGGACACTTTTGTCTGGATCTAATCCACCATATCTTCCATTTAGGTATGTGAACACAAGAAATAAGCCTAACTTTTCTGTTTTGAATTTTGCTAAATAAATTTTTTTCAGATTGCCTTCTCAAAAAAAGGTTTCTTCTCTGATACAGACATTGTATCAAAATGACTGATCCAGAAAAATATTTTTTACATCTGGTGGAATTACTCTGTTTTGTGATAATAAATCATTTAGCTTGATGTAAGTTTTAAGTAAGATTCCTGATCTTGCAAACTGTCAGCTTTTTAAAATAGTTCTCAGCGTGTTTGTAATTTAGCAATTAAACCTTTTCTTCATCATGTATCGTGTTTTACTATTTGGAAGTCATCCAGATATTTTAAATTACTTAGTCTGTAAGTAGGTAGACTTAGAGGAATAAAGGGAGTTGTATGCTGTTATATTTTAGCTTTTACAGAACAAGCACTGATATTCAAGTTATTAAATGTTTTCAATTAATCATACATAATTTCCATCAATCTGTCTTTATTCTCTGTACTAAGGTCATATTGAGACCCAAATCTAAGGAGTTTTAGCTATCATGCTTATCTGATAAAAAGACTTCCAAATTTTTTTGTGATGTGAACAGTGCCCTTGTGCCTTATGAATGAGAATACCTTGTGGTATTCCTATGCAAACACTGGCAATAAAAGTCAACTGCAAGAAGGTCAATATCCTCTTTTTCAGGGGAGTCAGCATTTTACAAGTAGGGTTCACTGTCAGCCAGTGCATTTGTAAATGTAGACCCACCTTGTCTGGATCAAATTCATCTGATTCTTCAGCCACTCAGCAAAGGAAGATCAGATTATCTGTTCTCATACCTTGTATAGGAGCCAGATACAGTGTAAGCTGTTGGGATGGTAGATTTTATATCAGGACCAGTTTGACTATGAAATCTTAAACCATCAAACACGAGTTTTAAGAAGATATTAAATCAGTGATAGCTTTTATTGGCAGAGAGCTTGTACATTGACTGGGTCACTGATAGCTGTCCAAAGCCCAAGAAGTTCACCAAGCTAGTGGTATCTATATTTTTTCAGATAATTATAAAAGATACTTGGTGCAGGGCGTGAGAAAGTCAGTTATTTTAAAAGTCAGTGTTTTTTTAACTTCTCCAAATTCTGTTTAAAATACAGGGAGTGTGATCTACATTAGACAAACGTGCCTTAGCATTGCTTGCATGAGGGTGTGCTCCAGGATCTTCTTAGGCACAAAGATGAGGCTCAGCATCCCATAGTTCTCTGGCTCTTCCTTTCTACCCTTTTTAAAAACAGGAGTGATGTTTCCCCTTTTCCAGTCACTGGGGATTTTGCCTCACTGCCATGATTATTCAAATAGGATGGAGAGTGGCTTGGCAACATCAGGCAGTTCCCTCAGGACCCTGGGATACATCTCATCAGGCCCCACGGCTGAACAGCTGTATCTTGTTCACCAATTAAAGACATTTACTGTTTGGATTTACAGTAAATTGTCTTTAGGTTTTTCTCTCCCCTGCCAAAGTAAAAATTAAGGTGTGTAAGAAGTTGTTCTGACAAAGCAAAGAACCTCATTTGTGAGACCCCAAAACTGTAAGATAGAAAACTTGGGAGGAAAAGTATGTTTGCCACACAGTCTCATATGACCCTACTTGCTCAAATGAAAGGCTACAGATCCTTGCCTTGCAACTAATTCCTTATAATAATGATGTTGATCGTAGTAGTAGTAATAATAAAGCTGCTATTTCTGCTTGACTGATAAGGAGTAATGATTTCTTTGAGGCTGATAGGAACCACAGTAATAAATTTAATGACACAAAACAATTTCCTTTTAAGTGTTTTTAAATGATTATTCAAAGGAATTCATCATGAGTTTGGATTCATATAGTTCTATTTCAGAATAGAATAGTTAGCTACCCTAGGATCATCAAAGGAGGCATCAAACATACAGAAGAAATGCGAAGATTTTCTGAAGATTATATTATATACACAGAGCATTTTGTATTTCCCAAGGAAGAGCATACTGACCAAAAGCATTGGAGAAGGCAATGCCCAGCAATGGGACTACTCAGTTTTTGCTGTCTGGGTTGGCAAAATAATTACAGAATTATAGTTGCTTCACTCCATTTGTCAGCTTTAGGAGAAGAGGGCAATAGAGTAAGAAGTATTCTGGAATGGAACTCCTTTGCAGTCTTTGTGTGTGTGTTTTAAGCCCTAGGTTGTGTTGGCCAAAACAAAAGCACTTTTGACAGGTTGTAGGGTTTTTTGGATGGGTTTTCTCTGGTGTGGATGAGTTTTGGTATTTGGGTTTTGTTGGTTTTTTTAAACACAAAGCTTTGGCTATTTTAGAGGATGGGAGGGAGGCAATCTTCTTGAGCAGAGCCTGGCTGTTTCTAGAAGGAATAAAATATTATGAGCTTTTACTAGAAGAATTAAACATCTTGATTTCTTGAGCATTCTCTCTTGGTGTGAGGCTGGAAAGCACTTAAGTTTCTTTTGAATCTGCTTTGGACTACGTCAGATCTTGGCACAGGATTAGAGCCTAAGCAGATTCTGTTACCTGTGGTGTAGTTTGTCCTGCTGGGAAAGGTGGGTGTGTAATCAACCTGTACCAGAGGTGAGACACAGAGGAGGGAGGAAATAAATGGAAGGATTATGACAAGATAGGAGGCTGGATAAGAAACGGGATGTCTGGCAGGATATTTGGGATATCTGAACTCATAGGTAGAGTTTGGTATAGATACATAAGGAGCTTAAGAATTACTGGACCTGAGGGAAGGGCAAGTAGATCTGATGGTCTGCAGTGGGGCAGTCTAGATTAGGAGGGAATGGGGAAGAAATAATTTAATCCTCCTTCCTTTGTTTTCCAAGACCTTTGAGATATTTCCACCCTGTCCATTCCAGGACATTTGAGAATCTCTGTTGCAAAATATAGCATAATACAGAGGCCCAAGCAATTGAACCCGTACTGGAAGCAGTAGCTCTGCCTTAGGTAGTGTATCTGCTTGACACCAGACTGTACTGGGAAGTAACAAGTTGGTGGTATGAGGAAATTTGCATTCCTTCCACATCTTTAGTTTCTTGGAAAGGACTAAAATGACTTATGTACAATTCAAAACATAAGCCAGATGTCTTACCTCTTCTCTCATACTCTGAAGTCTGTGAAGGAAATAATTGAAGATGTTAATCACTGCGATTCAGTGCTTATTGACTTGAGTTTGTTCTTGCAGCCTGGAACTTAGATATCTAACTTCTGTAGTATAGGTCAGCTCTGTTTGAACAGTTCAGGTGAAGAGTTTATCACTGTTTAACAAGTTTGTTAATTTGATATCTGAAGTGTCCTCTATTTGAAAGAAACAGACAACTTTGAGTAGGTAGAAGCTGCAGGATTGTCAGATTCCTTGTGGAGTACTGAGGTAAGTTTACATGAAGTGATCACTGGGAAACTGATCTACTTTCATCTAGCTCAGTGACCTCAAAAAGCCTTAATCGGCTTAGGTCTTCAGCTGGTGTTTCATTTAAAGACAGCTTCAGCAAATATAGTTCAGAAGTGGAAGGAAATCAGAATACCCCTCTTACAAGATAGATGGAAATATTGTTTTGTTTTTATGGCAGAAAAACTAAAGGTAACTCGAGAGGATAGGCACACTCTGTATTTGAGACACTTCCATCTTATTTTTGGCTGATTCGCTGTCACTTGGTGACGCTCTAGTCTCTTGAAGATCTTACACTGTATCCTCTCACTTCCATTTAAAAAACAGTGATAACACCAGTTAAAATTGTCCAAAATATCAATTACCTAGTGTGAAACAGTTTCATATTTTTCCCTCAAACTGCTCTGTATTTACTTTATGTTCAAGAGAAAAAACCAAATATATTTTAGTATTATTATGTTCGGTCTCTAAATAATGACGTGAATTTCAGAGCTAGATTTTAGTTTGTGGCTTTTGGGGTTTGTTTCTTTACTGGCAAGTGCTGGGGAGACAAAGTGTTTTGTTATTGACAGCGCTTCGAGGTTTGGTGAAAGGGAAAGCATTATGCAGTATTGAGGTCAGCTACAACAACTGCGAAATGGGATGGGGGATATGCAACTCTGTAATGCCGGCTCAGATTCATCCCGAATCCGTGTCTCCTAGAAATATTCACATTTCTCTCGCTTTGAAAGCACATAGAGTGCTATCAGGTAATAGTTAGTAAAACACTGCTTGAAAAACAAGGTGCTTATGCATTTGGCCATAAAAGACTGAAATAATACAGTAATAAAACATGTGATCAGCAACAAAAATCAGAGTGCTGCAACACAGCAGGAGATGTCTCTGTTGTATTATTCTGATATGAAATTAGTTTTCCTTTTTCGTCTGTGCTTTCTTAAACACAGACTTCTGAGTTGAACATAAAAGTGTAAGATTTGAAGTGCAAGTTTCACCTAAATGTTTTTGTACATGCCTATGTGGTCCCAGTGAGTTAAAAATTACTACTGTCTTAAATATAAGCACATGCATTAGTTTTCTGTAAGATACCATGCTGACTGTGTACAGTGGACACAGGAGTAGAAAAAGTTTAAATAAGGACGATATCTGGAATTAATTTTAATTTAATGTAGAATTATATGTTTCTTTAAGATTAGTAAAGGTATTTTTTCTTTACAGTGCTCTTCCTCATAACTCTTAGTCTTCGCATTTGGTTTTACTGTGGAACAGTGTGACCCATTCAGAACCTATTGCATTTTATGCTAGCTAAAGTCAGTATTATTAAGTATTGCTCTAAAACTTTTGGGATATATTTATCATTCTTAGAAAGAAAATGCATGCTTGTGGATCTAGTGCTGTATTTCTAACAGAATTTTTGTAAAGTTTAGTACTAGTTCTGACAGTATCCAGTGTTTTTATCCATGGTCTGGAAATTTGTCTGAAATCAGTAGGAAGGCAGGCTGGCACAAAGAATAGTGAAACTGAACTAGCTGCTCTGCGTTAGCTTTTAAATATTTTGTTTTCTTCAGTAAATACATTAATTCAGGAGGATTCAAAAAGATGAAATTTGGGGGTTTTATTTATGAAGCTTCTTAATGATTTCACATGACTTCTTTCTGACTGATTTCTCTGGGATAGGAAAAGCATTTGATAACCCAGCCTTGGCCTGGAGGAAGTCACTTAGGTAACTGGGGGGAGATTTGTTTTGATTTTCCTTGTAACAAATAAAGTATCAAACAATTAGTGACTTAAAATACCTTAGCCCATTCCCTCTAAACAAAAAGATATTTTACTCGAGTAATTTATTTAAAACATTCAGGAATTCAGGTCACGGTAAACTCCTAATCTTTGCCTTTTGAGTATTTCATGGCCCTTCTTGACATGTAGTCAGCAGTAAGGTTGGCATTGTGCATCTGTCCTCTCTCACATCTCTGCAAAATGCTTTTTGACTGAACTCTAAAGAAATACTGATGCTTCTCTGGAATAATGTGAAATCATCTGTTTGATAGACTGACTATTAAAATACGTCACTTCATAAACATAGTGTGACTTTTTGTCATAAATAAACTACTTTTTTTTTAACATTGTTTTAATATTTAAAACTACTCCGTAAAATGTATCCTGTGACTTGCTGTATGTTCTGAAACTAGTAACGTGGGTTGCATCTCCTAATACTGAATCCACAAGCACTTGCCTTACCTGTACTTCAGATACTGCTCTACTGTGTCAATAGATCCAGCATGCAGAGTCCCCATGGATTATATGTACAACTTCTGCCAGATGAATTTCTTTGTTCTTAGATCTAAAATGTAATACCTGCAGATAGTTTGCCTTAAAGTTCTGGAGCATAAAACAGTAAAGTTTCAGAAAGTTTTGCATCTGGAATTGATTCTAATCAGCCCAACTGTACTTTTGGAAACTAGAGAAGAAAATACAGTGTATTCCTGGATTTACTCTGAAAAGGATTGGGAGTGCTAAAATAACAATTACTGTGGCCTTAAAGAAAAAAAGTTGCATAGATTTTGTTCCATTATCTTGTTCTCCAAATTAGGATAGAAGGAACTTATATGATTTGCTTGTGTTCTCTTACTGGAGTATAGTCGAGAGACAGAGCAAGAGAGAGAGATTATGGCAAGGTCTGATATGCTCAGTATTTGCCCTGGTTCATCAAACACCACGATGCCCATGAAGCCTTAGGTAATATAAGCCACTGCTTCTGGGTGCTGTTTCACTGCCACATTGTACTGTTGTTCATACCTGTTGCTTATGTTTTTATTACACTATCACATTCTGCCACAAAGGATAGATGGGGGGGTGAGTTTTTGAGACGTCAGCTCTTTAAAAAATCATTATAATACTACTACCATCCCTGTGCACGTCACTGGTAATAGCTGTCTGTGGGAACTGTAGCTAGGAATTCATACACCTGGAACTGTGATAGGCTTATCTTGTGCTTCTGGGTCAAGTACATGGTCCTCTCTCCCTCTCTCTTAGTATTTCTTGTTAATGGATTAGAGATTACGTGGCTTTTTCCCTCAGTATTGTTTTTCTCTACTGCACTATCAGATGCCTTATCAGTCAAAGAAGTAGTTATATACATACAGATAAAATATAACAAATATTTTTTATAGCAAAACAACATATAAAACAGAACATGTCTGCTATGATCATATCTTCCATTCATATTTCTCTAAATATTTAATGGGCTTGGATTTTATTTTTGTCAGACACTTCAGAAAATCAGCACAGCCTTCTGCTCTGTGCATATTTCCACTGGGTCCTCACGTTTTTTTGCTCAGAAGACTTTTTTTGTTTGCTAAAATGCTTTTGTGCTAAAATGATCTGTTATCCACCTTTACTTTGTCAAAAATGTATTGTGTGTAAAGCTCATATTTTGCTGCTTTGTTATGTTCTGTTTTATCTACTGTAATGAAAATACTGGGTTCTCATTTTTTAAAACTTCCCTGTTGGGTTTGGATAGGGAAAGTTTATACACACTTAAAAGTTCCCTTTCCAGAACATTATGATTGTGCTTTAATAGTCTAATTATTCAAAAGCTTTTCTAGAGCAGCCTGCCTGTAATATGACACTGCCAAAGATACAGCTTTTCATTTTCTTAAAAATATTTTCTATGAACATTGCTTGCTCAAAACTGCTAAACTTATTCTGCTCTTAAAGAATAGGTGAGAATATTCTGCCCTTAAAGTACTTGAGATTGAAGGACCAGATCAGTATAACAAACTTCATACTGCTTATAGAAAGTCTTCAATGAAAGATTGAAATCTTGAATCAATTACAGATTAAATATGTATTTGGGTAAAATGTAACATTTTGCAATTCTGATAAATTGCAGTTCTTAGGACTCTCTCTAAGATAGCTTAGAGCAAAACTATAAAAGACTTCTTTAACGAGTGATAAGGAAATAATTTGCTAAGGCAGAATTTTGTTAAAATCAAACTGTTCTGAAACACACTTCAAAAAGTACTTTCTCATTTTTCCACAACACATTTTTTTGGTGGTGATGATTGGTTAGGGTTTTTTTATGTTGGTGTCTCTTAGCACTTGAACATGTTTTGGAGTCTCATTTCGTCTTCTAAAGAAAATTGTAATTTTCTTAGTGATAGAACTGGGGTTAAGTAATTTTAAATTTAATTATATCTGGATAACTTTTAGTCACATCTGCAATCAGGCATCGAAATGAAGGCCTGTAAATTAATTCCAAACTAGTAGTCTATTTACTTGTCCCTGTTAGACAGTGTAACTCAGTTAAGACTTGAATAATAGTTAAAGCAAGCTTTGCTTTATTTGCTGCTATCCTTACACAATAGAGAGAGGATGCAAAGCTTCCTGTTCCAAGATAGTATCAATAATTTGGTAAAGGGCATGTAGTTAGCTGATGTAAAATATGCACTTAAAATTATTTGCAGTAATTTTACTGCACTTACTCTGAGCTGCGTCTTGGGTAGGGGAGTTCTTTAGCATGAACAAGCTTCTAAAAGATGTCTTCTTCAGACTTTGAATTCAGAGTTCTCAGAGGGAATTGAATAGCTTGAATGTATTCTGTTGTGTGTTGCCTTTCCCCAAGTTCCTAAAATAATTCTGTGTATATTAAATTCATTTGTATTAAATCTATAGGGATGCTTCATTTGGGAACTGCACGTACAATCTTACGATCTTGGACTGTTTACAGGGAGTAAATAAGGTAATAACGTTTTTCCTTAGCAAAACAGGTTTAAATTGATTTTTAAATCATGAGGGAAAATACTGTTAAAATAGCTTAGAAAATCTGGTTTCAAAAGGTGTGTGAGTGATTAGGAGGCTCTCATGAAGCCTGAGGTACTGAGGGCTGTGTTTGAGCAGTGCCAGCAGGGGAAGGTTACACTTCTGCTGGCTGGCCTGGCCTCTGACAGCTGTTTGAACTTCACCCCGTGCCATGGAACATGCAAATGGACCAGGCCTGGCTGGAGGCAGCTTTTAACAATGCAAGGCACTGTGCTAGATCTGCTAATAGATCATTTGTAACTATGGGTAAGAGGGAATAACAGGTGGATAAAGCCAAGGGATACAGAACACCCAGGTATACTGTGACTTAATCTGAGCAGGTTTTGCATGTACTTGGCCCAAACTTTCCCCCAGAACACTTGGTTCAGTGTTTGACGCTGATCTTTTCAGAATTGTTTAAAAACAATTAAAACTAGGGTATCTTGCTGGTGTTTTGATGTCTCACTTTCAATAGTCCTGGGCCGTATTACACTCAAGTATTGCTTTTTTAAAAAATGTTACCTCACATCTTAATTGGCAGCCTTTAAATTTTGTTCATCATTTCCCATTGATCTCGATAAAGGGAGCAGTCTGTAGGAACAGTTCTGTACAGACACTTTATGGACCATTTGTAATCCTTAGAAGTATGGCAAAACAAGTGTTTTTAAAAATTGAAAAAAGATCAGGCTTAATATTTTTAGTTCTGTGGGGGTGGGAAAGGAGCTGTCAGTTAACAGCAAGACTGTAATTTGTGAGGCATTCTACAGATCCTGAAGCTCTGAAGTAGTCAGTGCAGTCACTGTAATTTATCTGCAACAAATACATCAAAAGGTGAGAACCAATTTTTCTCCTTTGTTCCCATAAAATTTATTACTGAATTTTTGTCCAGTTCACTTACAGAGGAAAAAATGCTTCAAGCAGAAACCCTATGCCTTAAAATGGTCTTACCTGGATGAATTTGGTGTTTCTGTGCATGTACATCATATACGTGTAATTCAGGAGGCCTGCGAGTTGTGGAGTGCAGCCAGCCAGCCATGCTTAAATCAAATACATTTCTCAAAATCAGCTGTTCAGACAAACCTCTCAGTACCTTAAGTTCCATGCCAGTCCAGTCACTGAGCCTATGATTCCTATAAAAAGCTAGCTGTGCTTTTTGTTTTGTCCTAAAAAGGTGCTCGATATGTAGCAAATAATGGCAGTGTGATGGTTATTGTTTTACATCATAGAACTGTGATGTGTTTTTATCCCACTTTAATCTCAGAATGTCGTGTAATCTCCATACTTCTCAGAATGGAGTCGATTCAGTACAAATACATGCTGCAGAAATGCCTTCTGCCTATTCTTTGGAATAAATTTGGGCTATGAACTCTGTATTCATAGAATTGTTTTCAATATCGTATTATACACAGATCTTCTGTACAAAATTGGCATATTTAATAGTAGTACAGTAATCAAATACAAAACTTCTTTCAATCCTGTAATAAACACTGTCTGATGTAGTCTAGTGAACTTTATCTGTGTATTAAAAGAAATAACAAAAATACAGGTTATGCGTGGTACTGTATTCTGTACATGCCATTTTGCCTAGGTATTATGGTGATAAAACCAGAGTATCATATAAAGCATGGAAAAACAAAAAATCTCTGTGTTCTCAATGTTTTATGGCCAACTGCTTGAAAACACATTCAAGCAAAGAAATCATTGAATGAGTGCATGACAAAAAGGGAATTGCTTTTTAACTTGTCATCTGCAATACAGAAAAAAACCACACGTGGTGGGGTGGGGAGAATCAGTTTTATGATTTAAGTGATATGCAACAACTTTGTGTCCCATCGTAATGTCTTTGAAGGGAAAATAATGAATCTAACATGTTTCAGTGACATTGTTGGAGTTTTTGTTGTCTGCTTTGTTAATCTGTGCAAAATGTGATGTTGTCTTAACATAAAGTCTTCAATAAACATAAACATCTAGGGATTTAGTTCTGATTCTCACAGTAGTATTATAAAATGAAATTATGTATCATATTTCAGTATGAACTGACACCTTGTTGCCTTTTAGGCCTTGCAGCATGGATTTTTTGACTTTAAGACATTTGATGTGGATGAATATGAACACTATGAGGTTTGTACATTTAATAATGAGTTGAATGTGTTCGGTTTACCTAAAATAACAGTACACAGTATCCCACAAGTTAAAGCATATTGGAAACACATTTTAATTCAAGTAAACCCCAGTGTTCATATGTAAGGTATGTACATTGAAACATGTATGCTCTGTGTGAAAAACATGCAGCATTAATATCCTTGCAATTTCAGTGCATCATACAATAAATACTCTTTTCTTGCAGCCTTTCTGGCTCTGCGATGTCTTTCATGCTTTCCCAGCCTTCCCCTAGGATACGATCCAAAGTTTCTCAGCTGACTCACGGAATATGTTTTCTTTCAGCACTTGTTAGCTGCTTCTTGTGTTCCTTTAGTCCCAAATATATGACAAGTTCTTTTATTCCCACATAGATTAAGGACATTTTGAACTTTTTTTTTGAGTAAGAAGGCATTATATGGAGATTCTAGTAATGGAAATACATCCAAAATATTTCCCTGATGAAGTCCCAGAAAGCTAACAGATGTCATTCATTGTTCTGCCAACTATTTTACACCTTAATAATAGACAAACTCTGGTTGTCTCTAGATGCTTCTCAGGCTTTGCAACATACACACCTTTATCTGCTGGAAGTAGAAAGTTATTTCAAGCTACATTGCCTTAGAGAAGCTTTAAAATAGGCCTGTGCTGTACCTTGAATTGGGCTGTGTACAGAGGGAACTTCAGGCACAGAAGGTGTATGTACATCTGGTCCAGAACAGTTGTGTTGGACCTTGTCTTTGGAACTCTCCTAAAGTCCTGAAATTGTATTGGTTAAGCAGAAAGATACATATTCAAATATTTAGTATACCTCTGGTTTATATATTAAACTCTGCTTTTTTAGACTTGTGTTACTTTACTGTATTCTTCTGCTGTTCTTTCCCTCTGTTGCAATTTTCAGAAAATTTGGGACTAATGGGAATAGAGTTGCTCAGTCTGAAAGCCTCCATTTTAAGAGCATTTCCTATAGCTGTATGTATTTCAGATGTGTACTGAAATACTTCATGAATGTTGAAGAAAGTGAAGGCAGAAGAGGAATAAAGAGTGGGAAAACTTAATTAATAGCACAACTCTGTACAGTATCCGTTGTTTGCAATCGGCTGTCTGTAACAGAGAGCTATTTACAAAACTAGAAAGCATTTGTAGGATTTCTGTATCCTATAATGTTTCATAATGATTAGGTTGAGAAATTGGTATAGCCTTTGCTGAGTTACCAAAATCAAGTGAACAGGAACAAAAATTTGAACTATGAAATGGTGCTTTTTTTGCTTAATCTAGGTACAAAAGGAAAGGACCTGTTCTAAAAATAAACAGTAGTTGGGAATTCTTAGGATTCTGTCTATGAAGTAGGCATTAGTCTGCCTGAAAGAAAGTGTTAAAATAAATGACTAAAGGAATTCCATTATCTTTAGTGCTTAACATTATTTTAGTTTGTGAAAAGTACATGTGTGTGCACAATGTTTACAGTATGCTACTTACTGAGTTTAAGAAGTAAGAACTTGAAATCATCTTTAGGTTTTTGTTCATTTTTTGATATGTCCCTTTTTTTTTTTTTACACATCGTGGTCAGCTTTATGTTTAGATATGTCCTGTGCTATATTTCAGAAACTTTAAGTGTTCTGGGTTTTTGCTATGTTAGGTCTTCAAATGTGTGCTTATGTGGAGAAAAGTTGCATACGACTTAAATGGAGCAGGCTAAAGGAAATTTTATTTCATATTTATAGTTCTTTCATCTTACTACATTATAAAGACAACTAATTCCCCTTTTGTTGGACTAAATTACTGCAGTTCTTCGGGTTTTTGAGTAACAATGTTGTTTGCATGTACATAGATATCTTTGGTTCATATCGCTTAAAACTTAAATGATTCGCAATAACCCCTGTAACCATAAAGAACTACTTAATTCACAGATAAAATTGGTAATACCAATATACGTCTAACTTACTGAGCAAGACTTCTTCCCTAAAGGGAGTAAAGGTGCTACAGTGCTGAGTTGGTGGTGTGTGACGCAATGGGGGGGGTGTGGGGTCCTGGCTTGGCACTGGGGTTGGCTCACTGGTGCTTATGCAACCCCTGTGTGAGGACATTTGGAGCAAGCCTAATGCGTTCAGCTAAGCCAGCAGTTAGTGAATTGATTACAGTGATGTCCATTATCAGAACCTTTCACTCATTAGGATGTTTTGATGAGCTGAGAGCTAAAAACACAAGCTTAATAATGCAGTTGAACTGAGTGCCATGTCCTTAAAAGTCATGCTGAGAATAACTGCGTTGCCAAATGAGGAATGAGCAGTCTTCAATTAAAAAAAGAAAAGAAGGCAGTTCTGAACTGCAGTTCATGTTATGTATTTCCAAAGAAGCTTTCATTTTTAGCACTGACAGAATTTGAAGATCCTTTTCGAAGTTTTTATGTAAATGTGAGCAAGAAATGCAAAATGTCACAGCTTGGAAGTTTTTTAGAATTTAGTCTTTTTATTTGATTTATACTTTTCTTTCATTACTGGCTCATCAGAGCTTATGCCAATATATAAATTTCAGTTTTTACAGGGAAAAGATAATTCCTTTGGAGGCTAATTGGTTTTTAATTTGTCTTCTGTGATTTGGGTTTTTTAGCCAGTGCCTTACAGAGAAGCATTTTTCTATAGTCTTTGATTAAAACATAGAAAAATGTTGATTTGTCAGTGTTGATATTAATAGGTATCCTAAAACACTGAATACTCTAAAGGAGAAATCTTAGATAAAGGGTGTTTCTGCTTTTATTGGAAAACTTCAGAAGTTCTGTTTCCATTTTATTTTAAGAGATTTCTGAGAAGCAGCTTATGGTTAGTTTGTCCCATGTAGGTAAGCTAGCTAATTACATGTGAAGCATTTTGTTTTAATGCAGCAAGAATGTAGTAAATAAAATATTGAGTAACTTTTTGAACCTTGTATAATCAGATATTAAAATGCTTTCCTCTTTCTCTTCTGAAATTTTTGTAGCGAGTGGAAAATGGTGACTTCAACTGGATTATTCCAGGAAAATTTTTGGCTTTTAGTGGACCACACCCAAAAAGCAAACTTGAAAATGGTATGGTGTATGTTTTAATGATATTCTATGATCTTATTTTTCCAGCATGTTGAATTGCCACAGCAAATGAGGAAAAGATAATGAGGCTTATAAATCAGTTTTAATCTTGAGAAATAATGATTCAGTGAGCATTTTATATATGATCATAGAACTTAATTCAAAAGGTTTTAGAATTCTTTGCAAGAAGAGTTTTAATTCTTCTAACAGTCGGTGACTTTCATTCTGTGTCAAAGTGCCTGAGAAACTTGGGTCCCTTAATTTTCTCCTGAAACCTGGCTCCTGATACAGTAAATATGCAGAATTAAAGGCGAGTTGCATAAAGCACAGAAGACTGTTAAGAGGTTTGTAGCAAAAACTGGGAAAGACTTTAAAAAGAAGCTTGCCTTTACTACTGAAGAAGTTCTATTTATAGCGTGTATAACTGAAAATTGCTAAATTAGCACTAACACTTAAAATCCAGTTGTGAAACTCTAAATAAGCCTCACCCAGGTGAGTGTAAGTGCACATTACCAGCCTACATTTTTCTCATTAGGTTGTGATTCTAATTGCATTTATTAATGATATATGACTTGTCCTAAACGGCTGTGTTGTGGTTGGTCTTTGACCTCCCTCCCTGTGCCCCCATCTTCATCTAGAGGATCCTTTTGTCTCTCAACAGAGAATCAAGGCAATAAAGCTTTTTACTTCACTGTAGGGCAAGAATATCTTTAGTGCTGCAGTTTTTTCTTTGACTTGTTTGTTCTTTAACTCTTTCCTCTCATCCATAATATAAATCAGCACTCCATTTTCCTCATAAACAGTGTTTCCTCTTCTAGCACGTTTTTATTCTTTGACTGTAGATAGACAACTGTTCTGAAATGCTGAGTTCATACATGTGCCTAGGTTTATGTATAAAACCCTCCTTGCAGAGAGGAGAGGGGGCTGAACAGGAGACAGCACAGTTTCACACATACTGTGCTTTAACATTCTTCCTCTTGATACTTTTTTAATAGTAGTGGTCTTCATGAGCATTTTTTGACAATTTTTTTATATCACTTAACGTGTTTTTTTTTAATAAAATAATTAAGCATTTTTAGTATTAATGTTTATCATTCGAGAAAGGTTTTTTGGGGGGCAATTTTCACTCGTAGGGCTTTGAACTTTATCTACAACGTTTAGTGATTGTGGCTTTCTTTTTTTGTAGGTTATCCCCTTCATGCTCCTGAAGCCTACTTTCCCTATTTCAAGAAACATAATGTCACATCAATCATAAGACTAAACAAAAAAATTTATGAGGCAAAACGCTTTACTGATGCTGGTTTTGAGCATTATGACCTGTTCTTCATAGATGGAAGCACACCAAGTGACAGTATAGTTCAGAGGTTCCTGAACATCTGTGAAAATGCTGACGGTGCCATTGCAGTACATTGTAAAGGTATGAGCAGTTACTTCTCAGATCAAAGTTCAAAATATCTATAAATCCATGGGGTTTATCCCAGAAATAAAGCATTGAGAAAATAACACTTTCTGGTTGTGAAAGTAATATTGCTTTATGATACTTGACTAAATATATGCCAAATATTTGTTATTTTCATGTGTATGTTAAAGTTCTTTCATCCTACACTGTTATTTTCAGCAACTGACAAACTGTTGTTCATTGTTCTGTTTTTTCTTAATATCACTTGAAAACATGAGGTTTAGTTGATGCAGGTTCCTCTTTTGCATTCTGCTTTTACAGCGTTATGATAATTGGCTAGGAAATGCAAAAGACTAAAAGGTTTTCTTTGTGCTTTTGGACTGTTCTACATTTTTCTGTTGAGTATGAATTCCACATTTCAATTTGAGTTATTGTGATGCCAGCATTTCAAACCAGCCTAATTCAGCATATCAGCTGGAAAATACACAAAATATGCTTAGAACAAAGGCTTTGAAAGGTTCAGCTTGATTTAGGTTTAGAGTTGTGTAAGGACATTGTGGAGACGAATGTCTTACCGATCAGAAGCAAGAATGATGCTATTCATAATTTTCCTATGAACAATAAACATGCATATCAAAGATAAATAGCTTTATTTGCTAACACGTTGTTATGGTCTCTAGAACCCAGAAATTCTGACACTAATAAGCTGGACATCTGCTGTTTGGCTAAATGAGAGTATAAACTATTGATTAGCAGGAGTAGGTTATTCTCCAGGCTCGGCTGCTAAAGGAATATAACATACTTTGCTATTGAGTTTATACGTGTGCTATCTAAACTGAAGTATTTCTGGTCTTTTGTCTGACTGTTTAATAAGAAAACCAGTGATATTTCAGCCTTCTAGATAAGCCTGTACAAAGTTAAATCAACAGCTAAGTCAGACCTAACTCAGATTTAATATATTGCAGAGATATTCCAAGCACAGCTTTCACACTAGAAATTGGTTTTCCCAGAATTTATAGAAAAGTTCAGTGCAAAGGATTATAATGGAAAGTTTGTACATTAGCAGGAAGGTAAAGAACAAAACTGACATCGATACTTCCCCTTTTAAAGGATTCTTCAGATCTTGTGTTCCAGTGTACGGTTACAGAACCTCAGTTTGTGAACTTCTACCCTCATCCTTTTACCTTGGTCATCTTCACTTTCAAAAAAGGGCAAGATTTAGGTATTGGTTAAATGTAAGGAGCTTGCAGTTGTGTATAGAATTGTCAGCAGATGTCTGGCTGCTTAAGGAGTTTCCATGTGGATAGTTAGTTGTTGGTGCATAAACAATAGTCAGCAACCATGAGACTGCAAATTGCCAGTACTGTACTTGGGGGAAAACGAGGTTTAAATGGGATGATGCTTTACTGGTAGACAAAACACAGGGCTAGAAAGAGATTAATCCTCACTCTATCGTTAGAGATTTTGCTCGTAGTAAAAGCTAATTTTTCTGTCTCTCTGTTCTCCCCTTAAAACAAGGTATAGTTTGTGATTTGGGGGGCAGTGGGTTATATTATTGTAAGCTATTGATATCTAATATTATATGCTGGTCAAAGTTCATTGCTGTTTATACAGATAGCAATGAATAGTTTTTTGAATAAGTTTCATTGCTTTCACAACAAAACTTATTCAAAAAGGAAAAACCACTGGCTCAGAAGACACATGCTCTCTGTGATGTGCACGTGTATTGGCACCATGATATTTAAGTATGTGTGCTGGCCTCTCAAATGTGCTTTGACTGTGGTTTTTTACTGATTTTATAAATATGAAGTTGGTATTCAGCTCGATCACAGCTTTTTTTAAAAAAAATACCAACCTTTTTTTAAACAAAGTATGAAGCAGAATTGAGTGGCACAAGTGATTGCTGTCACATGCATTCTTTTAAGCACTGTTCACTTTTTGTAAGTATGAAATATCTGTTCTTATACCTACAGCACTGCAATCCAGTTGTGTGACAAAGGGGATACTGAATCAAAAATTCTTTTTTCAAATACTAAGATGGTGAATAACATTGCATAGATGGCTTTGTACATCCCATACTTTAATTTGATAATTTTTAAATGCTTGCTACTTCATATGTGACTGTTGATACTTGTATTTCTGTAGCTGGCCTGGGGAGAACAGGAACGCTGATTGCCTGTTACATCATGAAACACTACAAGTTCACACATGCTGAAGCCATTGCTTGGATAAGAATATGTCGACCTGGCTCTATTATAGGACCCCAGCAACACTTCTTGGAAGAGTACGTATATTTGCACCTTCTTTGCTAAAAAGAATTAGCTGTTTCTCTACATTCTTATCCATCTTGCGCTATTTATAGGATCTACTTTGTCTGCTGACATTTGTATATTACTGTCTGTTCTGTATATTTAAGGTGAGTTAATATGGGATTGCAATCTAACTTACTCAGAAGCTATCTCAGCTTCTCTGGAGCACCGTGCACTTTGTCCCCTTAAGGGCCACAGGATCTCCAGACTCTGCATGTTTGTTTCTCAGGAATTTAGAAGTTACACAAGTTTGCTGGAAGTGGACAGATGTGGACAAAAGATTAAGTCAACAAATAGGATTTATTAAAACATTAACATATGAAGAATAGACTTTATATACAGTCTATGACTTAAAATAAGCTTAAAATGGTATCATTGATGTGTCTTTTTCTTTCTTGTAACTAAAGATTAAATAATTTCTGGGTGGGGAGCTTATGATCTCTGACAGATTCCTTAGCATAATGTATGAAATATTTCTGATTTGAATCTAATAGTTGTCAGCAAAACAAATGCATGGTTTTAATACAGCTTTAGATTTGATCTTGACTGGCAATGAATGACAATGACGTAGACACTAATGTCATAGTGGTTCCTACATTGTGCATTTACTGTTACAGTGGTTATGCTGATATTTTTGAGCTGATACCCTGATAATATTTACTTTGAGGCATTTTCCCTGTTACGAGAGAAAACATTTTAAGAAAATCCAGTACAAATTTGTCTCTTTGAAAAAGAGAGAATTCAGCAGCTCTTGCAGACACCGTGTGAATACAGTCAAAGATGGACCAACCTTGCATTTTAAAATCGATAGGATATCAGAGAAATAAGTATTACTGTAATGGATAAGATAAACTGAGCAGGAAGGGGGATTTTCATTTATTATCCAGTGCAACTGAATGGGCACTCCTGTCTTTGAGAGGTGACTGGCTGTTATTCAAAATACTGTGAATCAAAAACTTTGACAAACTACAAGTGCAGAATAGTCATCTTCACACTGATGCTTGGCTGATGGTACTCTTAAAAATAGCTTGCACAATAGAGCAAAATTGTGGAAAGGTAGTAGGTAATGTGATTAGTAAGAGCTGTTTACTTATAAGAAAAACAAGGCCCCTGTCTTTTCTTGGTTTGATGGATTGAGTACTTGGTTTGATTTTATAGATAGGCAAAGATACTTCAGATTTTTTTGACTTATATTTACATTACTCCTAGCTAAGAACTGTAATTTTGTTCAGTAAGAGTTTTCTAATGTCCTGAGGGGAGTAGGTTCCTGTTTCGACAATCAGACAAAATTCAGGCAATGTCACCAGTAACATCAAAACGGGATTGGGAAAGAACATCGGTTCCATCATTCTAATATAAAATATCTTGCCATCAGGGCTGACAAAAAGGTAAAACCTTGCAGCTTTGAACTCCCAACCTTCATAGATTTCAAAGCTTTATCTTTTAGGTTCTTGGATGTTTAGTAAGGGATGTTTGAGTCGTTCGGGGTTTTTTCTGTAGAAACACTTCCAGCCAAGTACGTATCAAATCAGTTTGTTACTGTGAATGCAATTAATCTTGAAAGGTTTCAAAGGTATTTAATTCAAGCGTGTTTTCTAGGTTACCTTTAAAATACAGTTGCACATTCCTGTTTAGTTAATCTGTTTTCCCAGAAGGGTTTTGTAAAATGAAGTTATTCCACCTAGGAATGAAGTTTTAGTACTTGTAATATTTCTGTGATAATGACTACAGACTTGCTTGGTGATTCTGGGTTGTTTTTAAACATTGTATTTTGAAATTTTTTTTTGGTGATAGACATTCAAATCTTTTTTCAGAGGAAGATGTATGGAAGATGCAAATGTTGGCAATCTGTAAGAGTAGCATGTTTTCATACTGTTTTGTTATATTTATGAAAAAGTGTGGATATGAATGGATTTGGTTTTGTATCCTAAAGGAAGCAAGCAATGTTATGGCTGGAGGGAGATCACATCCGATCAAAGCAGAAACAGCGAGTAGTGGATGGAAACCTGAACAGAGTCCTTTGTGGCTTGAATGACATTTCCATCAGTGACAGCCTGAATAAAGGACAAGACGTGGATCAATACAGAGAGGTAAGTATTCTTAGGAAAAATTCCGAACAGACTGATGCTGAGCTTTTAGTAACTAGCTGTAGATAACTTTTAGATTTTTGGGGTTTAGGCTTTTATTAGTATTAGATTGCTTTTTCTCAGATAAATTTTTTTTTTAGTTCGTAATTGGAAAAAAGATCAGGTAATATTTAAAACTGTCATAGGTAATTTTGCAAATTCAAAAGGTTTGCATTATTTCAAGTCATTCTTTCAGGGATTTCAGTTCTTTGAGAATGAAGGAAAACAAAAAATCAGCTTTCATTCCAATTAGTTAAAAACTTATTCCAAATTTCTAATCAATAATGCATCAGCGTATAAATGCCCATCCCTTTGTCACAGTATTATGGATTGATGAGGTGATGTGCACGTTTAGGGTAAGGACCTTTTGACTGCCTACTAGGAGCACAGGCATGAAATCTGAACTAAAGTGAAAATACTTTTGTTTCTGGCCTAGTAAAAACCTTAAACTGTAGTTTCCTACACTATCTGTAAGAAACAGTTTAGAGGAACTATGCATTTGATTAATTGCTTCTTAGCTCTGAAATAACTAAAGAGGTTTTAAGTTGCTGATGGAACTCTTTGCTTGATGTGAAAGACCAGGGATATAGTGAGCACCTTCTTCCTATAATTCTTAGTGTAAATTAAAATAATAATCTGTCATAATCTGGAAGAGCATCTTGAATGCATTTCTGTACAGATACTGTTTCCTTGTATTTCACTTTTTACAGATGTCATATTAAAGTTGTTCAATATTCAGTTTTCAAAACATCTCACTTATTATCTCCTTGAATATCTGGTTCTATCTCAAGGCCTCATTAAAATAGAGCTCTCTAGAAACTCAGAACTAATGTTGCCAGTCCCAAAAATGCACGAGGTCAAAGAATCAGAAGAGGGGGAAGCTATATGCAATAACTATAGAGCAGGTAAAGACTGTGAAACAAAATTTATCAGCATGTGGCTGAATGATAGGTAACAATGGCCTAGCATATAATCTCCAATGAAATCTAGCTAAGATATTTGTATTTTCTTGTAATTAATGGAACAATTAGACCATCACATCATTCTGTCAACTCCTATCATATTACTGCTTCTGTCAATCCCTTATGTTGGTTAATGGCATAAACTGCTGTTCTGTTTTATGCAAAGCACTGAGTTCCCTTAGGCTCAGTAGGAACTGTGGTAATACAAATACTTGATCTGGGGTCAAGTGAAACATGACTGGTATAAGTTTTTTTCATTTGGCAAAAAAATCAGGGTTTTTTGCTTTGTGTAACTTTCATATATTTCTCTGCTACTGATACTGTCTCTACTTAGTAGCTGGGTCTTTGACATGTATTTTGAGGTGAATCTGAAATTGTAAATAGGCATTTAAACAGTGTTGGCATACACTTTTAATATTTCTTAAAGTTTTTAGTGTTTTCTAAAGCTAGAAGAAGTAGGATAAAACTCTGAACTCTGTTCATCCTGTATTACTTGTTAAGTTCACATAGGAAATTTTTTTTCAAGCCTTATTTTTTTAGAGCTCATGAGAACTCTTACTTGTTTATTTTTTTTACCATAGTAATTTAGTAAAGCTGATTTTTAGTGCCTCTTGCAGGACACACAGCTTTATCTAAATTTCTTCCTCATTTGTTCATAACATAACATTTTGTGTTACTCCTTTCCTTCCCTGTCGATGATAACTTTAAAGTAGCTACAGACGAAGGAGTTGAGGTTTATGTTCTACAGAAACAGACTTCTTTGAAGTAAATAAATGCTGGCATTAGACTTGAGCATCCTGAACTGACTTTGAGGTCAGATTCTGCAAAAATCCCCTGTGAGTGTGTGTTTGTTTGGTGACACATTTAATCTGCTGGAGCTGTGTATGCAGGGGATGGTAGATTAGTCTTTTAGATTTTAATCTTCATGAAGGAGATGTTCAGTTCTTTGAAACTGCACTGTACTCCAAAGGATTTGATATATTCTCTTGGCTTGCATCCTTTTGTGTTTCCCAGAATGATTTTGAAGACAAAGCAGATGTGGAAACTCAGAATGGCATGACCCAGGGAGATAAGCTCAATGCCTTAAAGAGTCGGAGACGGCCTTGCTCTGCTACAACTGGAGCTCTGAGGTAATTAAGTCATTCTGAGATAATTTCCAATTTTAGTTTCTGTCCATGCTATCAGATCTGTGTGGCAAGTACATGATCTTGTTTAATTGGTGGCACTAATTGTACCAGTGTCTGTGGTGGAAATCTTTCTGGGTATATAGCTATTAGTTGCAGATTTGGTTTAATAATTTCTTCTTTTCTCTTTTTTTTACCTTTCTGTCTCCCTGTTCAGGATATCTTCTTACTGTATAGCTGTAAAAGATAATGTAAAAAAAAATCTGAAAACCTTCACAAATCTATCTATCTAGCATTTTAAAACTTATGACTTGAACAAAATATTCTTCAAATAACTTAGTTGTCTTCCTATAGTTACTTTTCTGAACCAGTAAAATATGAACTGTGAAAACCTGAAGTACCTCTCTACTGTTTACCTGTAAATTAAGATAGTGATTGTCAATAACTCTGAACTCTTGGTCTTGTATTTTAAGCCAGCCTGAGATACGAAAATATACTTTGGCAGAAGGGAAAGGCTTTTTATCCTTGGATAAAGACCACTGCTTTTGTTTCTTTAGGCTGCAAGACATGAAACTGCACACCAGGTCAATCTCACAACCTTTCAGGTATTAACTTTAAAATTCTAGTTATAAATGTATACCACTTGACTTGGGTCTTAATTTTCAGCAGTTTGGATAATAGTTATCACATCAGTTAATTAGCAATTTCTGGCTTAACAGAATAAGCAGGTAACAAAAGTTTTTTGAACACCTGCAAATTGCATGCTTTACCCCATTGAATCTAATATACAGCATGTAAGACAAAATTTCTATCATTAGAAAGCATTAGTACTGAAAAGAGCACTTTTTGTTTTGTGACCTGGATTTTTGAGTTTGATTACTCCATATGGCTAACACTGAAAATGTCTGGTTTCCCTTTTCTTGGTAATTAAAGCTACTTCTGTTTAATGTCATTACTTCTGTGCTTGTAGTTGGAGATTTGTACCCAAGTTGTTTGATCTGTTAAGATCTGATCATGATAATATCCCTTGAACTAAGGATGGAGAAAATTATTGTTTTAATAAACTACTGTAGTCAACCATAATGGTAATGTTATTGAGTAGTCCAGTGTAACATATACGGCTCAGTTTCAAAACATGAAGAATTTCATCAAGAGCCCCACCCTAGAAGGAGCTGTATGTTCTTTCAACTTTGTGAAAATGGTCACAAAAGAGATTTGAAAACAGCCAAATGGTTACATTTTTGGTGTTGAGTTTTCAGACTTGAGAATTGCCACTTTTTAAAATACCAGTCTATGCATTGAAAGGCTTGTAGGTGTTTGAGATGTGTATTTTAATTGTAAAATCTTGCTTCCCACTAAAACTCTGCACTCCTTTTAGACTCAATTTGTCCGGTAGCACAGAAGGATCCATGTCTCCTCTGAAGGCCTCCAAAGTGATGGCAGTTAACTCTCCATCTGCAGAAAGGATAAGCAGACTTGCCACATCCTCAGGATCGAACCTCAAAAGGTTTTTTTCTTCTTCTCGCTTTGGTACAAGTCCTTACCGTATACTACACTGGCTGTCAGCACACGTGCGGTCTGTCAAGCGCTTGCTGGTCTCGGGTGTAAGGAGGCTTAAATTTACCTACAAAGTCATCTGCTGCTCCACAAGCCAAGCTTTAGTTGCCTGCAGATTTAAAAAACAAAGAAAAGCTAAAACCTGTCCTACTGGTGTGAGCGTTTTGTTGGGATTGTCGTCAGAAACAGTGTTACATTGCTAAAGTTTGGGGGTTTTTTCACTTATGTCAGTGCATAGACATCTTGCAGGTATTCCCACAAGTGTATGTTCTGTTACTCTCAGAAGAATACTAAGCGGTAATGAATATGATTTTTATGAACCCTTGATTTATTGCTAGTTATTTCCATTATTACTGTTGTCCTGAGTAATTATATATGCTAAATGAAATTTAGAACCATAAATGCATTTTTAATAACTCTGGGCACAAATATTTACCTTAAGAGAGTAACTAACTTGAGATATTTCAGGACACCTTATTTTTATTCTCGGATTTTAGCATATTACTTGTTAGTTACTTGAAGGCTTATACCACATAACTGATTTCAAGCAGCAGGAGTTCCTAAACCGTGACATGTACAAAAAGTACTTCAGTGTAGATCAGACGCTGTCTAAACCTTTTAACACAATCTCCTGCACGTGCATACGGTTTGACAGAGGTGAAAGCTGGCCGTGGTAGTGCTGAATAAGCAAAACTTGGGAACTCTGCTGACAAAGAATTCTCCTTTTCCTTACATGGGAGCTAGAAGATGAACCTGTGTGCAAACACAAATTATTTCAGAATGGTCTGTGTTATTCACCTAACGCCTTCTGAATTGTCTGTTACATTTTTGTGTATATCTCTACATACCCTGTGTATATTTTTTTTCCCTGCATGTGTTTCCCATTCAGCGTTTCCATAAACTCCAGACTAGCCAGTTCTCTAGGGAACCTGTATGCTGCTTCAGATGATGATGATGAGAGCAAAATGACATCATCGTGCTCTAGGACAGGTTTTTCTGTAAGCCATATCTCCAGTCACCCGAAGGGCAGCTTGCAGCTGCCACACAGAAATGCCCGTGAGCTGAACAACAACCTGTACAACAGGAGCAGCAGTAGTGGCACCAACCTGAGCAGCCAGAGCAGTTTGCACAGCGCCGTGACAGATGAGTACGCAGCAGCCTTCCTTTATGGGCCTTACAGCTCCTCCAGCACCATCCCAGAGTCAATTAATTCCTGTAAGTTCATACTCACAGCAGCACTTTCAGGCATCTGAGTGATGCTTTTCTGCCTTGCTTCTGTGAGCAAAACTGTCGCAAAAAAAAAAAAAAAAAATCTTAACTCGGCATGATTCTCTGACTTCCTCTAACGCTTCTGAGCAGCACCTTTGTCTGTTATCTTTTTAAGTTATTATCATTTCAGCTGTTTTTTTTCCCCATCTCTTTTAAATACCTAGTACATGGAAGGTTCACTAAAATAAATGACTCCCAAACTCCTGAACTTTTAATACCTTTTCTGATTTTTTTTTTTAATGGACCATCTTACCCTTTGGATTTTTTATTTCAAATTATCCATAACTTAGAACTTTATTATGTATTTTTATCTTCATGCAGTAACAGATTTAAAGAAGCTTTTCTATGTATCATACTAAATAAAAGGTAAATATCCTTAAAGATAGGACTTATTTGAAAGATTAGCCCTCTTGACTTGAAACCTAGTCCTTTTCTAACACCAAATGTGAAAAGTATTATAGAACAAAATATTTCTGATGGTTTCACATTGCAGCTTTCATTCCTCAACAACTTTGCTGCCTTGGGCTTATTTTATGCTTTTTTTGTGTGTGTGAAAGAGTCTGTATAAAGAGGATGCACAGATAAATTAATGCAACTTGAAAGTGATTCTATACAAAATGCAGAGAAGAGAGACTAGAGAAACTCCCATTAAGAAATCAGAAATAACTTCATCTAATCTAGGGAAAAAAATATATATCTACTACTGAAAATCTAAAACAAATTTAAAATTTCTAGTTTTCAAAGATTTGATATCCTGCTAATTATAAAGATTTGATATCCTGCTAATTATAAAACTTAGTGCAGTGTTTTAATGACTGTTTTGCCTACAATTAATTGAAACTGTCAGCTTCTGTTTATTAGTACTGACACTTCAGATTTTTATTTTTTTTAACCACTGGAAATACGATTGGCTTTGTGTAAAATTAACTTCAGAATATTGCACCTCTCTCTCCTATTTCGGTGTAAAGAAAATTTTAGTGTTACACCTGCTCCTGGTTTTGAGTGTAGTCTCTGTCTTAAAGCAGCTAATAACACACATTGCATGTAAGTAGGATGTCAGCTGGAAGGATCATTCATGGGTTGTGTTCTCTTTTTCCTGCAGAAGTGGAGGACCTACCCCCATATTAACAGCTAGGATGTGGCACCACTTACTATTCAGAAGCCGCATGTTTATGGCTCTGGGTATGAACTGCACTTTCTCAGGATAGATGGCAGTAGGAGATAAATTCTCATTGTCCTATTGTGGAGTTAAATTGCATGTGACTGAAACCTAACCTACATACAAAGTACACTGAAAATGGAGTGAGGTGGGGGAACTTGATTCTGTATTCTCTGTAAGTCAGTGGATACTTCCTACTGTGGGAGGATGTGCTTGACCTAAAGCAGCTCTTTAAAATACTTGATGCATTCAGACTCCTTGTTTGAAAAGTACATTTAGCTTCTTATCCACTACAGCTTATCTGGAAATAAATGCGAATATTCCATGATCTCAGGATCACCAAGTGATCTGCATTGAGTTTAAACTTTACTTTAAACAGCAGCAGTAACTTGTTTGCAAGGGAGTTCTTGAATATTGCCACATCCTTTCAGTTTTTTGAAGTTGTTTCACCTCTAATGTGACTGTTTTTACCTACTGCATGGGATTGAGGTAAACTGCGTATAATTGAGACTTAAAATTAGATACAGAAACCCATATCAGTTTTTCTATGAGGAAACAAGTTCTAGGACAAGAAAACTGCTTTAGTTTACCTAATTAATTTAATTCCTTCAGGCATAGAGATGAGGAGAGAGGTGAAAAGCTGCATAATGAGCAGGGAATGTTTGTTTTGAGACACATCAATGAGTCTTTCATTTGTTCATGAATTCTGATTGCTCTGAAAAGTCATCCTTTTTAGGTGTTCCCACTCTTTAATCCAGAACGCTCACAGAAATTCAGTCCTCAGGCCCCAGTTGGGTATACTGGACCTAAAGTAGTACACCAGCAGTGGTTGAGAGCAATCACTCATCTGAATAACTAAGTGGTAAAGTGTCTGATTTTACCTTTTTTTTATTATTTCTCATTTCAATATTGTCCCATATTGAATGTAATGAACAATAATTCTTTGGAGAGTCAGTCCATTCTTGTTCTTTTAAGTTCTATCTTTTGTAAATGATATGCTGCCAGCAGCATTTCTTAGAGATTTTTTTTCCATATTCTACTTACAGCTGCCTATTATGCATTAAATATATGCATGTAAGCCTACATGCAGTGCCTTAAGGGGAAGAAACACCTTGTAACTGTACTGTGACTTAGTTATGAAAATAAGCTGACATCAGTCACAGTTGGCCAAAATTTACAGGACTACCAAATGGTAATACAAACAATTACAGGAACAGTAAGCGTGTTTCCTCAAACAGTTTAACAGGTTCAATGAAAATATAACATTTTGAAAATAAAAACAGAGAGGCAGTTGCCAGACCTTAATGCTACAAATAATTTTGAACAATGAAAGCAAAGTTAGTGGGCTTGTTCCTTAAGCATAGGGTAAGAAGTTAATTAATGGTGCTGCTTGCTTTCTTTTTTATATCTAGATATTTACAAAATTCTAGGTTAGCACTAGGTTTCTCTTCAATCTTATAAATCCTTGAGGTTCAACATAATGGTATTGACAGAAAAATTTTCCAAATATATGTGGGGAGATGGATTAGGTTTACAGTGTCACTGACTCTTCCACTGCAGTAGCATGTCTTTCCTTCTTAGATAAGGATGACTTAGGACAAGACAAAAAGCAAGGAATGCTTCCTTTAGGGAAGAGAAAAGGAGCAGGTGAACAGGTGAAATAGCCATCTTGACAGCAGAGAGGGACTTGGTGCTAAGTGCATTGTGGTGAAGAAGGAAATTAATTGTTGTCTCCTTGCAGTAGAACTATGAAGTGATTTAAAACTGATTTAAATCAAATAGTATAAAGTTTTAGGTTGAATGAGAAACATGTTGAAAAAAGTGCTTTCTAAAATGCACATTTCTCCTTTTAAAGAACATCTTTAGTTTTCTTCCTACCTATCCTAATTACTTAATAATGCATGGAAGGATGTAAGGGTATAACTTTTGAATAATTCCTGGCTTGATATCATTTGCTGTTGAGGATTAGAGGTTATACAGAGTTGAATACAGCAAGATCTTTAAATGAGATTCTATATCCTGTCTTCTCTGAAGAGTGAGGTGAGATAAAAATACTGTATTTTATATAATATATACTGTGATGTGAAAAGCAGCATTTCTTAGGAAGAATCACACCATGCAAAGTCTGTGTAGCAAAGTACAAGTTTCTGATTTATTGTAAAGTAATATTCTTTCAATATAATAATGGTTAAAAAGCTTTCCTGTTTGGAATATATTTTTCAAATATGTTCTGATTAAGCATTTGCTTCTAAACATGCCATATGCCCTGTGCATCTCTCACAGTCACAGTGGAAGGCACTAAATTGTTACCCATTTTATGCCCAACTGAGTGAGTTGTGTAGTTACTGTGATGTCACGATGTATAAGACAAGAGTAGATTATTTGATCATTTAGTCTCTGAATTCTTTGTGCCTGATAGTGAGCATCTCACTGGCTGATACAGATGGCTTATTTTGAGGACAGTGTAATTTTTCTGAATGATTAGTCCCACTGATTGAACACAGTCATGCTTAAAACTATTTCACTTTTAACCTGAAAGTTTTTATTATGTCACTGTTATCATTATCTTACTTTCTTGTCATGAAGACATCTCATGCTAATCATCTCAACTTGATTTTCTATTGATAAGCTAAGTTGGCTCACATATCCTTTTGAAAAATGTTCAGATTCTTTAGTTTTTGAAAACTTTTCTGGTCCAGAAAGCTGCTACTGAGTGCTGTCCTGCTTTTTAGTCCCTAGCTTGTTTTATCTTCTTTAACTGTAATACGTTGGGATTTGAGGGGGAGCAAAAAAAAAAAAAAGAGGAGTTCCTGCCATCAAAAATACTGCCTTGTATTTTAGTCCCACGTCCTGTATTCCCTGTGGGTTTTCTTGGGGTTTTTAATGTGGAACTTTGTGGAAAAACATAATTTTTGTTTGCCATCCCCTTTTCTTAATGGAACCAATTAGCCAACCAAAGAAGATTTGTTTTTTCTTACCACTTCAACCACTGACATCCAGCTATTTTGCTTTCGGTGATAGGCATCAGTGGGCTGAAGCTGATGAGCAAAATAGGGAGTAGCATCAAGCCTTAATACCAGTTCTAGGGAGCCCCTGGTGGTCTAATGGTTAAGGACGCGGCACTGTCGCCGCTGAGGCCCGGGTTCGATTCCCAATCGGGGCCACTCCCCGGGCAGATGGAGCTCGTTAGCCCTGTAAGGCAATCCATCTACGTCCTGAGGACCTCGCTGCCACCGTCCAAGCGTGCTTGGCCCCGGCAGATGAACCTCAGGATTAAAGGGTGGGCTCAGTTCCGCGCACACTGTGTCTCACCTAAAAAATCCAATGCGCAGGCTGGAAGGTGGAAAGACCTTCCCCGGTTCTTCGTTCATGAAGACTGGCCATTATTATAATAGCAGTTCTGGCAGAATTCTGTTAAAACCAGAAAGAACTGCAATTGTAATACAAACCCTTTCTGGAACAAGACTAAGGTTTGGCTGTCAAGACTTCCAAGTAATTTCAGCACTTGAAGCAGAGAAGTGGAAATCATTAAACACAATTCTAATTGGAGCACATCAGATAACGTACCTGACAGAAGTCTGTTACATACACTGGGGCTTTATGTTTATTCACTTAGCTCATCAGAGGACTCTTGAAAGATACAGATTAATTACCTCTTTTTTATTGGCACAATCTCCCTTACCTGAGTTAGGTATCTAACTAACCAGCTGTGATCACATACGTGCTTTATTTTAGAAAGTCACCTTATCACTCTTATTTGTCTCTCTGTTAACTATCAACATCAGTGGTGCAGGAGCATTTTAAGATGGTTAGGACAGTAATGTTTCAATTCTCATTTGTGTTCTTCACGCTCATTAGTGAGAAAATTTGGAATTTCATTTTTATGCAAGTACTTTTTTTCCCCCCAGTATGGAAGAGAAAGCTATTCACTACTCTTTTTTCTGTTTTATAATGAAACATTAATACTGCTGTTCCACAAAAAGAACAATAAGAAATAACCATGACTGACTTCCTGTTGTTGTCAGCCATATATTTTTCCCTAATGCTTTTTGTCATTCATCAGTGCAAGCTTAAAATCCACTCCTCTTATCATGTTTATGCTAATGAACTCGAAGAAAAGCTTGATTTTCAAAGAATGGACAACTTGCCATTCTAGCCAAATAGAATAAATATTTTATTTGCAAATTTTACAAATTGGATGTTTTGATTAAACAGAATTTCTCACAATTATAATTTGCAGAATTATTCTTTTCAGGTAGAATCACATTTAAGGTACTGCAATAAGATTTTTACTTTTTTTTTAAAAAAGTATTTCTAAATTCAAATATCACTCTTTAAAATGTATTTTCATTGGAGACTATGTAACTGGGTAGTCTTAAGATGAGTCACCTTTTGCTTCTATAGCTGTCATGGAAACTGGTGAGATTGAAACATTAAAAAAAAAGGGAAAGGTAGCGGTACTTTAAAATTCATATACATCATACCTGTAGAATAGTTTCTCTTAGTAAGAACTAAGAACTTACTGTTAATTAATAGAGGACAGCCTTTGCAAAAACACAGACAAATGCTAGTGCATCTCACTGATCTGTAACTTCAGCAGATTCAGAGGATCACTGTGAGTGTGTCTGTATTATCTGTAATATATCCTGAATTAGTTCAGTGAGTCTTGTGTATTCACAGCAACTCTTGCCTACTGCAACACTCCTATTGCTGCAGTGAGAGTTGATGCACAATGCAAAAAACTTTAATTATGTTTTTGCATTTATCTGGGAAAATTGCATGTTCAAATCTTAACAAACAGCCCCAAATCCTACAGGATTGTTCCCTATTAAAGGGGACTCACAGCTGACTTGACCCTGAAGTTGAATGTGTGCAAATACAATTCTAGTGTCTAGGTGGATCTGTTGCTGATTTTCTCTTCAGGGGGCTTTCTGTGCCTCATAATCTAAGCAGTTGCTTTAACATGAACTTCATCAGATATCCTTGTGTCTTAATTCTTAGTTCTTTGTTTAAATGTCTGGTACTTGGGTATAAAATGCCAAACTTGACACAGCATGGGACAACTGCAGGAGTACACGTTGAGACCTTGACTCCATGAACTGATTTTATACTCATCATTGCAGTTCAGCAGCCACTGTTCTTTGGGTTTTCCATCTATTTTTACCTCTATTTTAAATAAGATTTTAAATGAGATTTTGTTAAATCCAGATATTACTTGTAAAAGTGGATTGGGGCTTTTTGTTTTTAACAAAGCTTTCAGAATCATAGGCCATACTTTGAGTCACGGTAAATGTACATTTTAAAATAGAAAACTCCTCAAAAGATTAAAAAAAAAAAAAAAAGAAAAAAATCACAATTACAGGCTTTGAAACATTACAGTCAATCTCTTCAGACATGTGAAGAGATTTAAGAGCACAAATTACTTTTCCTCAGAAGCAAAAAATCCACAGAACAACAAGCTTTCCTTGCTATATTTTAATTTTTCAAACTCAGACATTAGTATCTGTACTTTACATTAGCTCAGATGTTAAGGCTGTTGCTGTGTTTTTAGTGATAGAACTTTATGTGAAGTCACATAAATGAATCTTAATCTGGAAAATAATCCTGTTTAGATTTAATTATTTCTGTGTATTCAGAAAATAAAAAAGGGCTGCTGTTCACAGTTCTTTGTCAGCTAACACTGCTTTTAAGATCAGCAAAAGTGTACAGTGCTTTCTAGTCATCTTTCATTTGTCCAAGCTTTAAGTAATCTATTACTGTACAACATATGAGAGTATAGAATTAAATTTCATGCCTTTCTTTTTAATGTTTGTTAATCAGCTTTACTTGGAATTCAGTTTTGATGGATCCATTTCAAATACTGCTCTAATTGAGTATAACCATCTATTATTAAAATACACATCTGAAAATCAGACACCTCTGAGGATCATCAAGAGGGCAGAAATTTCAAGTGCTCATTAATGAAGACCTGTTCCTTTTGCCTTGCCCTCCGTAAAACCAGACCCTTTTTAGTCAGTGGTATTCAAATCTATATGCTGTGACAGCACTACCCTCTCAACCTAGGAAAGAATTTCCAGATGGTGCCAGATCTTCAAGATGGGAAAATACATTTAAGAGACAGCTTTGGAAACATACACTGACACTTAAGATATAGGGGGGAAAGTAGTTTTGTGATATTAGTTAGAACTCTTTAAAATTTATATTACGCACTTCTACTACTAGGTTTCACTGTGGGTGCCAAAGAGCATTTCTATAGTGACTGCTTAGGAATAGTAGGAAAAGGGAAGGCAAGACTCAGGTTCTGATCTGTCTTAGGACTCATGCTGGTCTCTAATAGTTCTCACTAATTCTGCTGCAGTTTTAAAATATGCTTGGGTTTTTTATCTGCTATCTGTTTGTAACCACACTAATACAGTGATGAGCTCTCTCAGATAAGACTTATTATTCATCAGAATGACTTCTTAAACGCATCTGTATATGAGCTAATAAAATGTTGAGATACTGTCTAAACTGTTCAATCAGTTTTTAATAAAGCTGTAGATTTCAGTTAAAACAGAACTGTTAATAAATACAGAATACAGTAGACCAAGTTATACTTTCCTCTTAATTATACTGACTTCTTACTAATCCAGATGAAACATTTGCAGTGCTTCATTTTCATCTGTTTTTAGTAATCATCATAAATGTATCCATATGCATAATTGTGCTGCTGTAGCTTTTTTTTCTCAATAATTAGCTACACCATATGTTTCCCATGTCATTATCTGAATCAACATCTAAAGTATGCTTAATTTTTTACAGTAGCACTTGGACTCTCATTCAGGATAAGTGGAAACCATTCAATTATAGTAAGAGCTGTCATGTGTCTCCTCAACACATTTTTAAGGTATTGTTTTAGGGTGGTCTTTTAAAGGACTTTTTATACTTTAAGAATCTCAAGAATTGGTTTGGAAAAGTAGGTGTAGATACAGGAGAGTTGATGGATCCAGATTTTAGTTTCTTCTATTTTATTCATCTGTATCTGTGCAGAGATTCAGATCTGCCTCCAATTCTGTTTATTTTTCTCCTTCCTCTACTCCTTATCTTTAGGTGAAAGATATATGTTATATACTAATAACAACCTCTTCAGTGAGTTTTAATCAGTTTTTCTTCTTTGCACAGTCCCTTCAGTCTGAGTATGTTCAGTACTAAAGCCTTGCTGCTTTGGTGAAACCTGCTGAGCTCTTCAAACTGATGTTCTTTATGATGGAGAAGAACTGAAAAAAAGGAGCTGCTCATTAAGAGGAGGAATCTTCAATACAAGATGTATTAAAATCTTAACACCAAGAGAAGACTTGTTAACAGGAGAAATTTCTTGTTAATGACTACTGCAGATGCACTGATGTTGAACTTATGGAAATTACTACCCCATGTTATATACACATTTAAATTTTTTATGTTGAGACAGCTTGAATATATTTCTAATGAGTTTCATTAAGACATTTATTAACTTGTGTACAGTGTTAAAATATGTATTAAAAGAATATTTTGGTAAACTATAAAATTATGTAAAAATTAGAATATATTTTAATTTAGTGTCTACTTTGCTACAAAAATGAGTATTTTAAAGAATTTGTACAGGTTTATCAAAGATATAAAAATTTTTTATGAACAAGATGTTTTTCTTGTTTTATGGGTCCATCAGTATTGCTTGAAGCCTAATGTAATTACTCTTTTACTAATTGGTCTTCTGGTAATTTGATGGCAGTCCTAACTAATGAGAGACTAGTTGTTACAATATCAACTAAAAGCACTTGCTACATAGTCTGCTCTCCACTTTCAGCTCCTAATGTTTCTTAAGGAAACACTATGAAATTAAAATAAAGGGAAAATATTTGTTAAGATGTGTTGTAGTTATATCTTTCACTGCAATTTATGTCAGGATTCAATTGTACAACTTAACGCTTTCAGTTTGTCTTAAAGGAATGTTTTGGTTTTGATTTGTAGAATGTTAAATTTTGCTATGCAATACATGCTGCAAAAATGAAGGCAGACCAAACTGAAGTTGGTAAGAATGTGCAAATGCAGTGAATTCAGCAGCACTGCATACTGGCATGTTTTTAACCTACATTTGGCAGTATGTGTACAATTTCCTTAGCAACACACACTGAATGTTGGAAGTATATTAAATTTTCATTTCTCTGTTGGATGCTTCATATACCTTTAATTTTTTTGTTAAACATATAGTTAAGGTAACCTTCTGTATCATGGGATATTTTTGCCAGTAATAAAGATGCTCTGTAATATATCAGATGTTATTAGTAATGAGACTTAGAATGAAATGGTGTTACAGTGAGGTCATAGAGATCAGGTGTAAAATTTTCAGAACTCCACAAGGGCATAGTAAGGAAAATAATATAAGCAGCTGAGATTATTTGATTTGCCACTAATTTAGAAGACAAAACCAAAACAGATTTGTTACCTATTAGTTTTCACAGTATCTACAGAAACTTGAAAGTAAAACTTGGTTGAGTTGTCAGCCTTTGTTCCTGAAGACCTATGAATGCCCTGCATTTGCTTTGCAACTGAAGTTAAGACAAAGTGCTACAACATTTTTTAAAAAGATAGATCATAAATTGCTATAGCAAACTGTACTGAAAGTGTTAATAAGCAGTACTGAGAGCAGCTATAAAAATCATTGCATAAAATTTACTGTACTTTCTTTGCAACTGTGTATATGTAACATATACACACACGAAGTAGCATATGTGTGTGCATACATATATAAAATATACTGTATATTAATTATAGAATAATGGTAAGGTAATTCTACCTCTTATGAAGAATTTTCTCATGTACTTTGTTATAAATAGTTTTCCTTAATATTAATTTTGAAATGTAGATATATATATACATATACAGCTAATTGATAATAAAATGCCTGTATAAGCCACCTTGTTTCTTGTTTTCTCTTACTTAGAACTGGTGATACAAACTAATGAGATGTGATCTCTAACTGAAGATAGCTCTTCAAAATCATCTTTCTTCTAAAGAATGTAATGTATTTCTAAGTAGGATGATGTTACAAAAAACCATTAGCATGATAGATACCCTTTTTAATCGATCTGTCCAACTTACCTTTTTATATTTGCTTTGCATAATGTCAGGTATTTAATCAACACGTTGATATGATGTAGGGGTTATATTTCAAAATACCACCATTTAAAAGCTGTGTCTGAATAAAGAAAACCTTCCTTGGCCAGGACCCTTTTTAAAGGTGTAATATGCCTTGCCTTTTTTGCACATGCAACAGGTTTCTTAGTCCCACCAACAGCAAAGTCTTTGTCCATAAGAATCTAAACATGCTTTCATTTAGCTTTTTGTTCTTCCTTCCTTCAACTAAAGACTAATCACAAATGGTTCTAACGTGGTTTGACTCTGTTGCTGATTTTCAGCAGATTTGTTGCATTGAATGATAATTTATTTACAATACTTAATATTCCTGCCAGATAAGTGTCTACTGCAATAGATGGTGTGGACAGTATGTAACTGTTACACAGCCTCTCTAAAGGAACAGCAAAGCCAGGAATAGAGCAGATGTTTTAGAAGATGCCCAAATTCTCATGATAATCCAAGAAGAGAATAAAAGACTTCTGCCACTGCATTCAGATGAATAAGGGATGGTGATTTGGATATGTAGAGTAAATATGTAGGGAAACCAGCTAATTAAAAGTTTCTAGTACATAGGAGTCAACCTCTCCCTTGGCCTTTTTCTCAAATTCTCTTTATTATATGAACTACATAAATGTCAATTAACGTACAACCTTTTTTGTGCTTAAAAATGAATTATAAGTAAGTCTGTACTCTGTAACAGTTCAGCTTCTTAACAACAACTAAAAATTTGGGGACAGTGAAAGGTCAGGGAGGTCTTTTAGAACTATGTAGCTTTTCAGAAATACCCTGCAACTTATTTTATATCCTCTGTTCACCTATCCTTGAACTTCACCATTTCTGTTCCTTCATATATAAATAGATCTTGTTCTGGGAGAACAAGCTGTAGCACATGAGATCTTAAAAGACACAAATGGATGTATTAAATAAATCCAAAGGTCTCTTATGGGCTTATGCTACTGTGGCTAATATCTTATGAAACTGTTAATCATCTCTTTTTAAAGTGTTCTTTATGAAGCTTTTTGGTTAGGGAGGTATTTCTTGTTACAAATTCAGAGAATATTTTTCAATTACAGTACTGCAGAAAGAGGAGGATTTTAGTTTCTATAATAACTGTTCTTTACTGACAGCTAAACAATGAAAGGCCTCAAAAGGTTTGACACTTGATTAGATCTACACTGTAAAGTGCAGCAGGCAAAAAATATGGTAATTAAGGGCCTGATCAAGTAAATCACTCAGGTATGTCGTTAACCTTAAGCACATGAGCAATCTAATTAAAAGAGAGCATAGATATTCATGTTAGTAACAAAGCCACCTTTGGATCAATAGTTGTCAATTGCAAACAGGAGCCTGTCAAATACGAAATGTGCTGTATTGCAACAAAATAATCTATTAGCCCACACAAATTAACTTTGTTAACTTAAAAAAAATCCATATTGTAACTATAACTACCTCCTAATATATTATTTTGGTATTGCCATTTGTTAGGATCAGGAGTTATGAATATCTAAAAATGCCTTGCAAAGGTCTCTTAGGTCAATGTACAGATCATGCCTTATGAGCTGAGATTGTTTGGTTCTGTTGCTTACATAGAACCTATTGCAAAAGCAACTTTTCTCCTTAACTCATCACAAAATTATTCAGCATTCCTTTTCTGGAAAGCTTTTGAGAGGAAACAGAAGTTCTTTTACTGAGTTTCTTATTCTTTTCCAAAGGTAGAGTTCCCGGGAGAATACCCCTACTCATTATTATCTGTTTGGGAATCTCTACTCTTCAACCAGTTTTTAGTCCACCTGTCATTAGTCTCTGAAGGAACTAATTTTGGTGTGAGACCATTTCAAATGCTACGCTGATTCTGTGTTATCTGTGTACTTGCCAACACCAGTGTTCACCTCCAGCAGGCTGGCAATGCAGGATTTCCTACAGGCTGAGACAGGCTAAGGTTTATGAAGAAACATAAAATGTTTAGATTGAGAACCACATCAGTACTGTCTTACCAAGAATCACTGTATCTGTTGTGTTTGAAATATTTAATTTGGAAAGTATATCGCTGTTATAGAGCAGTTCTAAAATTAAGCTTACAAAAGCATAGTGAGCTTTCTTTTAACAAAAAATCAGAAAAAAATCAGTTTGAGTATTTAGAGAGGAGTATCTACAGTAAATATTCTGACAGAAGTGACTGATACTACTTTGAAACCTTGCTTCAAATGAAAGTTGTGTAAATGGGTTAGAACCAGCAAATTGGTAAGGCAGGGAAAAAAAGAGTCAGACTGTGTAGTTTGAGTATTTCTGGAGCATGATAGGGTTTGGCTTTTTTTTTTTTTTTTCCCCTTGATTTAACAAGTTGAAAATCTGCTGAATAATTCATGAAGAGTGGAAGGGCTGAATCTTCCTGGAATGATGTACAGTGTACGTACTGTGGCACAGGAGAAACTGCAAAGCTTTGTATCAGTTGCTGCCGTTTCTGCTGCCGATTGCAAGGTGCTGCTGCTTTTCGTGTTTTCACAGCTACAGAAACCTCAGTCGTGCTCTGGTCTGCCAACAGCCATTTGCCTCCCTATGGACCCACCTTCGCGAGCTACAATCTGTGGAATCTCTTGCTACCTACCCGCCCTGGACAGTGCTGTTCTCCGGATCGTTCCTGCAAACTGTGTTTTCTGCACCTTGCAGCTTGTATGACTGAAACCTGCCTTAGAGTCCCTCATCTGCACATCCTCCCGTGTGCGTGGTGAGGACTCCTTGCAGCAGAACTTCTGACCCAGACAAGGATGGGACTTACAGGGCAAAGTCAAAACTGAGCTGCATTCAGCGAGATGCCCAACGCCTCTTCCTGGAGTGCTAGCTCGCCTCTGCTGCTGCTCTGGGAGGACTCCTCCGGGACCCGCATCTTTCTCTCGCTGCTCTACGCAGTCTTAGCTATCTCAGGGACTTTATCCAATGTGATGGTCATCTATTTGGTCTTCTCCTTCAAGAAGCTGCAGACAACCAGCAATGCCTTCATCGTGAACGGCTGTGCGGCAGACCTGAGCGTGTGCGCCCTGTGGATGCCCCAGGAGGCTGTGCTGGGGCTGCTGCCTCCCAATTCCTCCTCCCTTCGCTCGGCGGAGTACCGGCTGCTCCGAGGGGGGCTCCTGGGCCTCGGCCTCACCGTCTCGCTGGCCTCGCACCTGCTGGTGGCTTTCAACAGGTACGTGCTCATCACCAAGCTGCCCAGCGTGTACCAGGCCCTCTACCAGCGGAAGCACACGGGCTGCATGATCGGGCTCTCCTGGGCCCTCGCCCTGCTCCCGGTCCCGCTGCTGCCCGGGCTCTGGACCCTGGGCTCAGCGCAGTCGGACGGCAGCTCTCGCTACACCGCCCTGCTCCTCGCCCTGGCCGTGCTGGGCCAGACGGCGCTGCTGCTGCACTGCTACCTCGGCATCGTGCGGCGGGTGCGGGGCAGCGCCAAGCGGGTCAGCGTCCTCAACTTCCACCTGCTCCACCAGCTGCCCTTCCCCGCCGCCCCGCCGCCGCCCCGCCGCGCCCAGCGCCGCCTCAGCAGCGTCTCCGTCCTGCTGCTCTGCTGCGTGTTCCTGCTGGGCACCCAGCCCCTGGTGTGGGTGAGCCTCCTGGGCTTCTTCCTGCGCCCGGCGCCGCCGGCGCTGCAGGCCGCCAGCTGGCTGCTGCTCTGCTCGCTCTCGGCGCTCAACCCGCTGCTCTACACGTGGCGCAGCGAGGAGTTCCGCCGGGCCGCCCGCTCCGTGCTGCCCCGCGCCGAGGGCCCGCCGGCCGCCCCTCGCCAAAGCGCCGCCGCGGGCGCCGCCGCCGCCCCGCCCTGCCCACAGCTGCCGCGCCGGCGGGGCACGGCCACGGGCACAGGCATGGCCACGGCCACGGGCACCGGGAGCGGCCCCAGCGCCGCGGCCGCGCCGCGCTGAGGGACCCGCGCGGGAACCGCTGAGGCCGCTCCCTCCCGCCGGGCCGCCCCGGCCCCCTCCGCGGTAGCGCTCCTGCCCTTACACATTCTCCCGCCGCTCCTCTCTGACCCCGCGCACTTGTTCCCGCTCCCTTTCCCACCGCACGGACGGGCAGCCGCAGGCTCCGGCTGCTCTCCCGAGGCACCGGGACGGACACCGGAGCGGGATGTCCCGCCCGCCCCCTCAGCGCCGGTTCCGCTTCGCCCTCGGGAGCCGGCCGGGACTCCAGCCGAGGCGGTGGATTTGGGAATCTGGGATAACCGGTAAATATGGCAACGCACGTAACTGTTGTTATGCTCTAAAGATTTCAGTATGAGACAGGCACCTAGACAGCTTTTCCTGAGACGTGCTGCAAGTTTGTTTTTGTAAAATCGATGTAATTCTTTCAGCATTTGAAGTAGTTCTTTGAAGTGAGCTCTCCGAACACAAGGTTCGTTTGTGAAGAACTGGCAGGTGTCTCATTGCACACACACACACACACACATACACATACACCAGGAACTGCTTCCTTTCCCCGAGGTTACCTAATCTCTATGCTCCATCTTTCCCTGGCAGACTTCTGGGTGATGCAGTCTGTGGAAATTGTTAAAAACGAAAAGACATATACCTTTGTGGTGATCCGGTGTGGATATTAAGTTCTGAAAGCTCTTTAAGGCCTGTTTTGACAAAGGCGTCTGCCTATGTTAACGCACTTGATAAAATACAATGCAATATGGAGACCGATGTTGTCCATCTAACCTTGTCACCTCTTCAGTTACCGGTTTGTTGAGTGTCTCTTAGATGCATTATTGCTAAAGTGTGATTTCACAGCCTCTGCTAAATACCAAATGACAGATTCTGTGTGGCATTTGGAAAGGAGTCAGCTCCTTGCACTGAAACTGCAGTGGTGAGTGCTGCGGCCCCATTCCTCCCAGGAATGGTCTTAAAATCCTTGTATTTCCTTCTCTATTGCTTGACCACCTCCCTCCTCTTTTCCAAGGCAGTTGCTGTTGTTTTCATGTTCATGATACTCAGTGCTCTGTTTACTTTTTTGGCACAAAAGACTGGAAAGAAGGTAATTGTTTTCTGAATCCATGGGCATCCACAAGCAGTGTCACATAAATTGTGCTTACTTGAGAGGAAGAATGGACATGTGGGAATATACGAAATTTTTTCACAGCAGGTTTGTTGTGACAAACTTGTGTATTATTTGTGTATTAACACAAACTTAGCAGCTCTCCTGAGGATATTTGAATGCTGGGACAACAACAAGAAAAAAACATACATGACAGGTATAACATAAAATGCCCTCTGGCTATATTTTATAATGCTTTACGCACTTTGCTTGCCTTACCTGATGATGTTTGAGTTTCCACAGAAATTGCTTTAAGAGGAAGGGAAGAATTTTGATTTTTCCCAAGTCTGAGATGGTGCCTGTGATACAAGAATGCATCTAAAATTTCCATACCAGTATTTAATTTTTCTCAATAAATCTCCATCATCACAGAAAAGATTCTTATCATAGTTGGGATTTGACAAAGACAAGGAACAAAGGCCTGAAAAAAATTAAAATATTATCTTGACATCTGGAAAATTTATCAACGTCCTGAAAACAGCTTCAGCCACTTGCAGGGACCTGTGGGAAACTAAGAGAAGTTTCCTTGAGTCTGAGGCTTACAGAGAACTTCTTCCTCTGTCTGGGAGACAACATTCCTCCGAGTGACGGCATCACAAGGATGGGTAGGGCTAGCAAGGAAACATGGACGTACAAGATATGCAAGATTTGTTTTATCAACACGGTACACATATCTTGGGGAGTGAAGGAGCCACTATATCCTTGTTGTAATCTCTCATCCCAGTCAGAGCACTTGTGCTTTGGCTAACTTTGTGCAGCAAATGGAGAAGGAAAACAGTTTCAACCACACCTATACCAATACCGGAAAATGTTTTGGTTCACTTCCAAAATAAAGCTAAACCAAGGCCCACCCAAGGGTAAGACCTTGTTCAACTATGAAATAATCCTTAGGCTGGAACCCACAGAGGAGGATGCGCCTTACCACTTCCCACCATGGCTAGAGGAACTGAAGACACTTGGTAAAGCTCAGTACTGGGCCCATAGGCAAAAAAAATCAAACTTTAAAATAAAAGCTTGGGCAACTCTTCCCCCCCTTTTTTTTGGCTATGGAACACATGAGTCTAGAATTAAAGCAATAACCTGTTTCAGAATTTAGTGTCCGAACCATCAGATAACTGAAACTTCTGGGCTTCTTCCCTTGTAAAATAGCATGCAAATTAAATCTGAAATGCCTGTATTTTATATAGACTACATTTTAAATGCAAACATGTATAAAAATACTATGATGTACAAAACTGCAGACAGCTATCCTTATGCTATGCATCAATTCCAGAGAACAACTGGAAATCCCTTGGAAAGTTTGATGTAATTACATCTGACTGTAAATCTTTAACTGTTTTAATATACTCAGGTGACCTAAATAGCATTACACAGAAAAGGATTTTAATTTAAAGTAGTTAAGACAGAGTATTTGTCTCCAGATCAGTTTCTTTGAGAACTTACTGCTCAGAAAAGTTCTGTATGCCTTGCTCTACAGCCATAGTATTTGTATTCCCACATTGTAAATACTCCATGGTAAACTGCAATGGAAACTTGGCTTAGCTCAACTTCTCCTGGCTCTGTGGTGTTGCTTCTTGGTTAAGAAAATGGTCCAACAGTTTTTGTCATTTATGCTTTACTTTAGAGCTGACTGTCCCCTGCTAGTTTAATGGTGACTTGTCTTCAATGCGAATTTCTGTCATGCTCAAACAACTCATTACAGACTAAGGAGTATGTTGCCAATCGTCCTTTAAAATGTCTCAACCAAACAATCTTTCAAGAGGTGTAAATGAAGGTGGTGGAACGTCCTGCCAGCAATTTAAATGAGGTTTGCTTGAACCAAGTTGCTCCCTTGCTCCGGTGTTGTGCCAAGCCAAGTTGTCTGAGCATGGCCTGAAGCTGCCCTTCCTGCAATGGCTGGCTTTCCCATATATTAGCTTGCTTCACTTACATTAGACGGGAGGTGCGATCTCATTAAAGCGTTGAATTTATTATACAGTAGTGGAGATCAGCCACATTCATGTACAATGGGTGCCTGTTCCTTTGCTACTTTCTCAGGGGTTCTGGAAATGAGAGCAGGTTAGAGTCAGTAACAGGCTGGATGGGTTGTGGCCAGTTGTGCTGATGTCCTTGAGAACAGGCATTTTGTGCACTACGGCCTGAGTCAGTTTGCCACGCGGTTTGTGAACTGCCCACACGTGGGACCTGCTTTTTGAAGGTAGAATTGTGATGCCTCACACAAAAATAACATTCTAAGGCAAAAATATGGTTATTGTGAAAATTGCTTACAGAGGGTGTTCGTGAAGTTATATAGTTTGGATTAAATCTTTTGAATTTACCCTTAACTTACGGCAGTTATAAAAAGCATAGAGTTGTTTTCTGGGATTAGGTAGCTACAACAATATGAGCCTCCAGCAAAACTGGGCAATTGCTGCCCTAAACAAGTGTGTAAAAAGTACAGGCCACAAAGCAAAGCTGGGAAAATATGACAAGAGGAGATGAAGACAGCAGGACAGGGGCATTAATAGTGTGATCTTGAGAACACAGAAAAATATCTGAAAGCCAGAAGAGGCCTGGAATTATGATGAAATTAACCATCTCCAGTTATTTGATCCTTTATATATGTGAGGAAACAGAATTCTATGGTTTTCATAATAAATAAAAACATGAAATTATATTCTCAATTTCTTCTTTTAACAAAGCATTCTGTACACCAGCAAATTTTCTTTAAACTCTGAAATAAAAAAAGACTAAAGGTATGAATTGCATCAACATTCTTGTGGAGAGTGCATTCAACAGCATTACTGGACTGACAAGCAGAGATAACATCTTAGCTAACCTCCAGATTCAGTCAGCCATAAGCACATTGTGAACCTTTTTTTTCTACCAAGTTGATGCTATTTTTAAAAAAAACCCACATACAGATTATTTTCAAATGAAGACATTTAAGTGTAGCGTTTCATTAAAGAAAAAAGTGACAACATATACTTTAGCTTTCTATTTCATCTTAAATCACATAACTAGATTATTGCAGTATTCTTTAAATTCAGAAGTCCCTTTCTCAAGTGGCAGCGAAAATAGCTTTTCTCGTGACTGTTTAACTTCTAAGAAAGCTACTTTTTTTTCCTCTTTTATGTCAATCCTTCCCATGCACTGTCATCATTTTGCCAGGGTAATAGTCTATTTTCTTTCCTTCTTTTTCCCTTTCTTCAGTATTTTCTGTAATTTCCTTCACTAAGGGAAAGGTACTTGGTCTTGCTGTTCAGGGCACAGCTGCTGAACAGTGGAAGTTTTGGGAGACAATTGTAAACTAAGACTAAAGAACTGAGGGGCAGATCCCACATACTTAAATTGCTGAGCGAGTAGGTTTTGAAGGTGGGCTTTTCCTGTGTAGAGTAGTGGACAAATGCTGTATCCACATTTACATTTGATTAAGGCTATGTAAAAAACCAAGTAACACGGATAAAAAAAGTAAAAAATAGTTTGAAGACCAGAGGAAAAAAACCCATTGTAGCTGAAGAGTTCAGTGTGAGTAACAACAAAATGGGAATCGTTACAGAATATACACCCTTATGCAGGTATTCAAAACAATCTCTTACTGTAAATGGTGATCTAATGATCTCTTCTGGCTTGGAAAACATGACCTTAAAGGAAAATAGCTCTGCTTTAGAAGTGTGGGCTACCTTGTTTGTTTATTGCCAATGGGTTCAATATGGCAAGGTGTCCTGTGTGGCCTGCCCTACGTCTGTTCTGGATGGGTATTCGTGAAACTACAGAACTCAAAACAATCCTGAACAAAACCACTTGTGGCTGCTTTATTGCCTGAAACTTTGGGTTTCTGGAGAGACATAATAACCACTCCAGGAAG